AAATACATAATTTACAAGAATCTTCGTTTCACCCAGTCTTTAACTGAATCACTTAGCGCAGATAAACTGAATCCGAAGAACAATTACCAACTGCCACCGAGATCTTAAACAGGAGGAAGAGCTATTTCGACCAATAGAGTCACTCGCTTCTAGAATCATTTATAGTCGTTATAGGTATTATGACGATGTAAATAATTTTAGCTTTGTAGTTGTCCTCATCTTTGTTCGCTCTTTATGGTGACACACCTACTCACACTGTTTCGAAATAAGCGCTTCAACGTGTTTCCGAGCTGTGAAACCCATGTGCTCTAAAACGTACATGAACAATAGACAGTGAGTAACAAAATTGATCATACATCCCTCGTAAATGCGTTAATAACAAGAGTTTTTAAATTTTCTCTGATAACAATAATCTTTGATCTATATTGTTTCTACAGTTGACAAACAATTGTCTATAAACATGAAGTCAATAAAAAGGACTCCAGCCTGTGAACATATGATTAATATTTCTCCGAAACAAAACTACCTACAACGCCAAAATATTGCAAGTTTATTAAAAAAATTTGAAAGAAAAACTAGATGAGTCTTTTAATGGGACTTTTAGAAACCTATAAAACCCAGTTTCTGAAAACTGCAGCTTAAAACTACATAATGGAGCAAAAATTTGATTTGTAACATTTTGGATAACATAGAAATAGATCCTACATGTCTGGGAATAACAAGTTCAAACGCCTCTATCTATTTTATCGTGAAAAGAACCGACGAGAACAGAACAGAAAAGTAAGCTACAAAAAGGAAAGTTGGTTTGAGCTGAAGTTATATGCTTGATGATGATCATAGACTAGATCGAAAGGTTGGATTTCTGTTGGAAAAAGTTTATTTGTTAAATAAAATATTGAATAATAACAATAATCTTTGTTAGATCAAGCAATAAAGGATGATGATACAGAACTGAGTCAAGTGTAGATGTTTTCGAGTTGTTATCCGATACTATAAACTAATCAGTTTTCACAAGATCTTTTATTGGCCTTCTAATGTTGTGGATACTCACTGCGATAAGGGTATGATACCAAACCTTCGGTATTTGAACGTAATAAATTGTTCTTCTTTGTGGACGCTGTTGAGCTGCACCAACTTGTAAGAGGTCTACTCGTCCAATAACAGAAATATGCCTTATCACAGATAATTTGAGCCCTATCAATGGCGTGTATGTTTTACCACTGTTGTATAAAATATCAACCATGGTTTACTCATGAATTGCGTGATGTGTACAGGATAAAAAAATTAAATTTTTGGACAGTACGTTACAAACACAATAGATCTCGAATCTATCAACTTCTGACAACCATATCAACAAACTCAAAAACATTTTGACAGAATACGTGGTAAGGGGAAAGAGGATCATTTAAAGAGAATTAATCAAATTAACACAAGCAGAAAATACTGGTGGAAACTTGTTAAATGCAACATAGGTAAAAACAACATGTTATCTATCAGTCTATGAACTATATGTATGAACTTGTTTTTCAAAACGCTAACTCATAGTTCGGCTTGGCCAAGCGTGACGAAATTTCACTTTTTAGACTTCTTTATTTTTTCATCAAAATACACGATTTAATCGATTACTTTTAAATTATTATACGAATGATATTGATATTGGATATACATCATATAAAGCTTTTAATTATTTCTGTTCTAATATAATGGCGTCAATTGCATCAAATATTATTTTCACTGAAGTTAGGTTATGAACATTGTTCAACAGAACAACTCTATTTATTATCAAATATTTGTCTATTATTTAGAAGTTTAAAACATTTGAATTTACATTGTAGACAAGAACAAAATCTAGAATTCTATTTAAAACTTGTAGAAAGTTTATATTCTCTAACTGTTACAATAAACGGACATATTTCATTATGTGACAATACGACTCGATGCATTTTCAATAATAAAAATTTTCTATTTAAAGATTGTTCAATAATATTTCTCTTTGAAAAATAAACGATATCTCTCAACATGTTTTATTCAACTTTTAACAATTGAACGTGAATTTTACAGTCAATTATTACTTTTATTTCATTTTAAATACAAAATTGAAATGGTTTGATTTCAATCCTCATTCAATTATTAATTATGATTACAAAGCTCTTCGTATGAAAATTAGCCAGTTATCTAGTTTAAAAATACAGTTTAATCAAATTATATTTGCCAATGCTTATGAATTAATTGAATTGTTAATTCAACATATTGTTTCATTAGAACATTTACCACTAAGTACTGGTTATTTATCTGAACCATCTGCTATCGATGGTCGACATATAGAGATTAATTTATTATCAGCGTTATTGAATTTAATCGATTTTTATTTTTATTTTCGGTTTTCTTATAAAAATCAACAAATTAATTCAATAATATCTTCATTTAAAAACGATTATTGGCTATTAAAACGAAAACAAAAATATTATATGTTATGCAGATGTTTATCAAAATGATTTTTACCTTTATTCACTGCCATTTACTTTTTGTGATATTGATTGTATATCAAACGGTATTACAAACTATAAAATAAATGATGACGATTATACATTTCAGTTTAATTCAATTATTTTCATTGGAACACCAAATGCATTCCATTTATATTGGCCATTAGACGCTGAAGTATTAAGCATGTTTAAAAATGTCAAATGTTTAAAATTTTATCTGGGCAGTTGTAGCTTAATTAATGAGTCATCAATGTTGAGACTTGGAGATGTAAATACAGTTATTTGTAAATTTTTTAATGCCAGATCAACAATTATTTGAACAACATTTTTCTTACATGTTCCCAAATGTTCGTGTTTTAAAAATCGATGATGTGAGTATATATAGAATTGTGGAAAAACAATTAGCATTTGACCACATCAAGAACAATTATTCTGTCAAACAAATTATTTAATTACATTTAAATACTTTAGAAGTCAGGGATATTGGTAATGAGAAAAATAATTATTTACTTGAATTTCTTCAATATTTTTTGAATATTCATATATTAGCATTAGAATTTGCTAATAAAATTCCTATTAAAATTATTCACAGTGTTCTCGAAGTATTATTATTGTCAAATAAAAGATGTTTATTATCATTTATTCAATTTTATTCATGGAATAATAATTTTGTGATTACTAAAAATGTTGCAGACATTTTTCAACGATTATTAATTAAACACTTTGGCAATGACAATTGTTATATCCATATTGAATTGTTAATCAGATGATTAAATGCATTAGACATTCAGTATATATATATATATATATGAGTACGTGAAAACTCATCTTTTATTCGGTTGTAGATAATTAGCTGAAGACATTTTATCGCTTAGAAAGCTAGAAATGTATTTAAAGTATTTGTATGTATGTATTTAAATATTTATGTCTCAACTGATGGTCTGCCTCGACTGTCCAATTTTTGAGCGCCGAATTCTTCCACAAGTGCCCGAACTAAGTTCAGTCGAAAGTCGGAAAGGGCAATTTTTTCCCCAGTTTGCCGTTTGTATAGTACGCAGACATTGAAGAGCGAGATATCAAGCAAATGGAAAAAAAAAGAATTTTTTGTACCACTTCAACGATTTGCGGAGAGACTCGGAAAATGACATTTGCATGTCAGATTTATCGGCAAGCCCCCTATTTTCATTGTAGTCTCGGACAGAAATGAGTTTCGCAATTCGACGACCTGTTTGATAATCTACTTTTTCGGTGGTTGTCGTTTCTGTCCCATGAATAGTAGAAATTATATGCACGTTCCTTTTGTTTTTCCATTTGAGAGCCAGAAGTATGTTATCAATGCAAAGAACAAAGCGAGAGAGAAAAATGACGTCATTCGAACATACTAGAAGGAGAAAACGACCTATGCAATATCATGCGTATAAACAGAACAAAAGAAAACGTGAATGGAATACGTGTGTGTGAGGGTGCTATACTATGATACTGACGGATGGCAGAACCAGAGGCAAAACGCACAAGTATAAGTCCTACAGATTTAACAAGCTACTGCTTTCAATTTTTTTAGACAGACGAAACGAAGCGTTAAAAGCTTTGCATTTAGAAATGCATATTTACTGTAAAATCAACATCACTATTGGTCTTTCTATCCTTATGATAGATAGAACTCCTCAAATACTTGTGTCCGATTGTACTTGGGGTCATATTAATACGGGCATACAATGAAAAACCTCGCCGTCCCATATATGGGACACCCCGTGCGAAAGGGCTAAGTTGTGAAATGAGTGAGTAATCTTTCTTTTTCTCTTTTGCTGACTTCTCATTGATGCTTTTTTTCAACCAATGAGAAAGACAAAATTTAGGCAAAAATCACGTAGACTTTGTCCACGCTAAAGAAGAAGTTAAATAAGACAAAAAAAGAGGATTTTTTCCGATATAAATTTGTATTCTAGGTCTTTATATGTATTAGAATGTTCGGAGGTGGTAATACACGGCACTGCTGAGATATTCAACTAATTTATTCACGATTTCACACACAAAAAAACATGTATAAAGAACAAATAACGACCTGAGAATAGCAAAACAAAATTAAAACATCTCACTGTCTCTATACGAATGGGCTGTTCACAAAAATTTTTCGCTGGAATCCCGGGAGTTGGATTTTTTGGGTTTTCTAACATCTTGTTTTTCCAGGGATCCGGTTTACCGAAATTTTAACAAAATTGTCATATACACCTCATCTGGTTATAAATTGGTCCAGTTGTTCAAATCTTTTTTTACATTTGTTCTAGCTTTTTATGGCCGAGGAGAAAAAAGTTGACTATAACATATTAAAAGACGTTCCGCCACGTGGAAATTGAAGTTCTTTTAAATATATCGTAACATATTAAAACTTCAGGTTATTACCTGAATAAATCGGCGTTGATGATGATGTTTTTTCGTGAATACATCGGACTTCGTGTTTTTATTGAAGAAATATCAAACCGGTGTTTCCGCTGAAGAATTTCATGTCTTTTCCTCAATAAATCGGTGTTTTTAGAGAAGAACCTCAGGTTGTTTCCTGAATAAATCGGCGTTTCTTCACAAGAACTTCATGTTCTTTCCTGAACAAATAAGCAAGCAGACAGGAACCTCAAGTTTCCTGAATCGGTGTTTATCCAAGAGAACTTCCTGTTTTTTATGAAGAAATAAGAACTCGGTGTTTCTCCACACGAACTTCAGATTGTTACCTGAATAAATCGGCGTTGATGATGATGTTTTTTCGTGAATACATCGGACTTCGTGTTTTTATTGAAGAAATATGAAACCGGTGTTTCTCCACAAGAATTTCATGTTTTTTCTTGAAGACATAAGAAATGGGTGTATCTCCACAACAACCTCAAGTTTTTTCCTGAATAAATCGGTGTATCTCCACAAGCAGTTGAGGTTTCTTCCTGAAGAAATCGGTGTTCACCGGTTAAATTCAAAAATATCTCGGCATTTGACTCAAGTACTATTGAACATTTTGTCTAAAATGGTATGCAAAATTCCTTGGTGAATCCGACAGCGGATTTCTTGAATTTTATTTATTTTATTCTTTTTTCTCCCCTTTTTTCGATGCTAATCCTCTAAAAAAAAATGTAGAGCATCCTGTTATGTCCTCTTTTCTTCAAAATGACCGTTCAGAAGCCAGGTTGTACATTATACTCTGTTGACAAATAAAAATGTGAAATGTATGGTGGAAATTTTGGTGATCAAAAGTATCTTTATTTGGTGATCATCTGTATCTAAAGAATTGGATGATCAAAAGTATCGTTTTTGATGATTAAATAAAAGTGGCGGAGAAAAGTTTAAGGGATCTTTTGTTTTTAATTTTTCTCTTCGGCCATGATAGCTAGAACAAATGTAAAAAAAGATTTGTAAAGCTAGACCAATTTATAATCAGATGAGATGTATATGACAATTCTGTTAAAATTTCTGTAAACCGGATCCCTGGAAAACCAAGATTTTAGAAAACCCAAAAAATCAAACTCCCGGGATTCCAGTGAAAACTTTTTGTGAACAGCTCATTCGTATAGAGCAAACATTTCTGAACAAAATTAGATGTCGCCGAACTCTCTACGATGTTTTTTCGTCGAACTGCATTCAATTTACGAAAGGCCCCACGGTCGTTTTTACTACCATTTTTGCTCTTTTTGTAGCGATTTTGCTGATTTTGACGTAAAGAAGAACCCCCTGGAATCCCGGGAGTTGGATTTTTTGGGTTTTCTAACATCTTGGTTTTCCAGGGATCCGGTTTACAGAAATTTTAACAGAATTGTCGTATACACCTCATCTGATTATAAATTGGTCCAGCTGTTCAAATCAGTTTTTACATTTGTTCTAGCTATTATGGAGAGGAGAAAAATTAAAAACAAAAGGTCCGTTAAACTTTTTTCCGCCACTTAAATTGATGTCGCAAACAATTTATATCACAAATATTTTTAACTGGAATAATTTTAATGTAACATCTGTCAGATTTAAATCTTTGAAAGTAAAAAGCTTTTCTTAAGAAATAAAAAGTTGACTATAACATATTAAAAGACGTTCCGCCACGTGGAAATTGAAGTTCTTTTAAATATATCGTAACATATGAAATTCAGGTGGTTTTAACTTGCGGATAATCTAAAAGCTTTCGGTGGCAAAAATGCTTAAAATCACAAGAAAGCTTGTTCGTCAGATTTTGACCATGAAAAAAGCACTTTGATGATCTTTCTAATAAAATGACATTTCTTCGAACACTTGTTTTTTAAGAAATTTAAATACATTTCTAGCTTTCTAAGCGATGAAATGTCTTCAGCTAATTATCTACAACCGAATAAAAGATCAGTTTTCACGTATTCATATATATACACACATTACGTATTCCTTTTCGTTGTTTATCCAGATCAGAGTATTAGTCGTTGATTGTCAAGGGTGTAATAAGAAGAAATTTGTTTTCATGTTTCAAACTCGTTAGATGCATTACAGCAGTCGAATGGTTATTTGAATATTATTGCAATTCAATTTTTTTAATTTCTTTCCCAGCATGGGCTTGACTGTTGAAGTACTGTATTTTTATTCCAGTTCTGCCTACTGCATTCTAGTTAGATGTTCTATGTTGAGTATTACTTACTTTCATCGAAATTATATTTGTTGCTCTTGTATTGGTTTCACTGAAGACTACTTTTTGCTACTGTATCATTCTCGTAAATTGGAAACTTTTTATATAAAAATCCGTCGCCAACAATAATTTAATTTTTCGCATCTCTTTTCATCTATGTTTTTGATCAAATGTAAACTATTCACTCCATTCTGCTTTCAAAATCAGAAAGCACCACTATGTCATTGTAGCTAAGTTTTAGCGTTTCATCTTTGTAACTTATGTATCAGCCCATTAGTTTCGATTGGAAAAAGAGGGGATGTTGTATATTGAGAAAAAAGTGATCTGGTTTTTCGCAGGAAAAGTGGCGCAAGTGAGTAAACAATGAGATCTTCTAATAGATTACTTCGTTTTGTGCCAGGGATGTCCATGGCGACGATACCGCTGCCACCGCTCTCTAAAAAAGGTGTCATACTGAACCATTTAGGGTTTTAGCGATTACCTAGGATCCACAACGTTTCGTCTTAAAAGCCATATGACACTTGAGGATGTTCCCTCTTCAGTTTTTGATGCTGAATTATTTTCAGAAGTTATTAAGAAGAACGAGGTAGAAAATTTTGCACATTTTGAAAAAGATGTGTTTTTTTCATTATTATTACCGAACAACCGTATATTCAGGTGGATTGGTATATTCAGGGTTTCGTAGGTGCAGTGTCAGTACAAAATTACTCAGTCCATACATATGTCTCGATAGCTATATATAAGACCATATTTCTACCATAGGATGGATACTTTGGCGTTGCCGCAATCTCAAAGTTTACAACGTTGCTGCAACCCGAACTGTAGATACCCACTCATACTCATCCATACCTCCCGACATCTACTCATACCTGCCCATACGCACCTATACCTACTCGGACCTACTTATCCTACAAGCAGCGGCGGCAGGGGGAGTGGTAGCATGATAGTGAGTAACCAAACAACATTTCATTTGTTGCGATGCAAAATATTATATCTTTGCCAGCTGAGCAACTTGTTTTATTATGACAACTGGACACGTCTTTATTTGGGACAATTAACCCAGGCCTTCAACTGATACGCGACAATAGTTGGCACTTATTTTCGGCACAAATATTTAACTTTATGACGTGTGGGCTCTATCTAGAAATTTTGTTTTATTGTGTCAATTAGCACACGCCTCCATTTCAAATATGTGTGGTTCAACAACTAGAAACATTAAAACGAACATTAACAATTGAGTAACTACAATTGGCATATGTCTTTAATTGAAATATTTAATCCGTTGAACATATGGAACCGTACATCTCCAAAGGGACAATATCTGAAGTATTATATAAGTATGAGAACTTATACAACGATATGACTATTTTCAGGCTGAGGGCAGAAATACTAACACACCCAAGGCGCACAGAGGGCGCATCGCTGAGTGAGGGCGAAAATAGTAACGAACGGGAAAGGCGTGTACAACTCACGCTCACACTCATGAGCGTGAGCGTTTCTATTTGCTTCCAATATTTAAAATATCAGAAATTTTACATATTGAAAGAAAAACAGAAACGCTCACGCTCATATGAGCGCCCATGAGCTTGAGTTGTACACCCCTAATTTTCACATGGATTACTGTTATTACTAATTACAATCGAGGTAAATATTTAACCCAAGGGGGAAAAAGCAGATCTCGGATTCCACTGAATTCCGCCGGATCGCATTGGATCCCACTGGACCGCAAAGTGGATCTTTTGGCTTTTACCGAGGCTCACTAGAATTTAGCACAACTGCCAAAAATCGATCACATTCTCGTAAAAACTCGTATCTTTCCATAAAAATATATTGGATCTAAAGTACTAACACATGCCTTGGCATTTTTGGGCTCACTCTCACTCACCAATGCGCCCACTGACCGGCTATCCCGTTTGTTAGTACTTTCATCCTCACCCTCACTCAGAGATACTCCCTTTGACCGCCTATCCCGTTTGTTACTATTTTCGCCCTCACTCAGCGATGCGCCCTCTGTGCGCCTTGGGTGTGTTAGTATTTCTGCCCTCAGCCTGAAAATAGTCATATCTCACTTTTACAATAAATAAGAAAAGGAAAAACATATATAAATATTTTGTATAACTTTACAGTAAAGTGTTCATTTATCCTAAACGATGAATGGAGAAAAAATATATATATAAATACTTTGTATAAACTTACAGTAAAGTATTCATTTTTTACTTTTATAATAAATGATAAATGCCGATAATATAGATATTATTTTAATACTTGTTTTCGAAAGGATAAAAAGTTTCTGAGAGTGCATTCATAATATAAATCGAATTTACACATATCATGGAAATACAGCAGTTTTATTCGAACCTCTTTTCTGGGGCTGTTCGAATAATATCTATCGAATTTTATACCGCAAATATAAATGTGTATCACAGTGTTTTAAACCGACAACAACTGCTACACACTTATTCCGTTCTTATCAGTAAGCATACCATAGCATGTAAAACTGATAACAACTACGCGTGAGGGTGACAGATGAGGTTCTTTATTCAAAGCGGTGCAATAAAAGCCGTTAACCTCAATTAGCGAGATATCATCGTGCTACTCGTACAAGAACTCGTGATTAATTACATTTTTCTTCTAAAGTTGTGGGTGTGATATGTCTGTTTCTTTCTTCACCTTCAATCAACCGAAATTCACATCACTTTATTGGATTCCCTGTATATTCTTGCTTCTAAAAAAAATATCCACTAAACGGTAGTAGAACTAGGCATATCTATTTATGCATTTCTCACGCTCTTCTCGTTCTATCTGAATCATATCGGCGCAGAAATATCGTATAATATTTTCTCTTGATGCATATTTTTACTGCAGATATCAATATGAATGTGTACTCTATCCAGTCTGGAGAAGAAAAGGAATCTTACGGACACAATGGCATTTCCATCATTAAGATAATATTCCTCTTTTTTAGTGTGGCTATTTTCGGATTTTAGGACTTGGTGCTTCTTTTACATTCGATACACTATATCTCACTATCCTACTGTCACCGTATGTGAGAACGACAAAGGATAGATTTATATTTCTTGTTCGTGCTACTCGTACAAGAACTCGTTATTAATTACATTTTTCTTCTAAAGTTGTGGGTGTGATATGTCTGTTTCTTTCTTCACCTTCAATCAACTGAAATTCAAATTCACTTAATTGGATTCCCTGTATACAGTGGGGAATTTTAAATAGGCACATGGAAATTTAGTGAAAAATGCACTTAATCGTCTCAAATCAAAGGGTTTATAGGATTTCAAGTATGCTCTTTCCAATGAAAACCTTTTCGGAACTATAGAAGTTTCTGAATCGGGTTTTCTAGAAAACATTTCCTGTTTTGGATCCTAAAAATCGCTGAAAATGGCAGAATTGATCAGTTTTATAGATTTTCGAGTATGCTCTTTCCAATAGACGACTTTCCGGATCATCAAGAATTTTTCGAAAAGGGTTTTCTAGAAAACCGTTGGGATTTTTGGGGACTACAAAGCCCTAAAACTTACACAATTGTTCAACTTTATAGGTTTCGACTGTGCCCATTCTAATTTGACTATTAACAAATGCTCAGAAATTTATTAAAGAGGGTTTCTCGAAAAACACATCTCTAGAAAACCCTTTTTGATGAATGAAACTCAAGAAGTGATTTAGTGATTAAAGAGATTTGTCCGGATACTTTTGCACCCTTCAAATAACCGTCTTTCAAGTTCATGGAAAACCCTATATAGGCCTATGCGAGAAGTGCGAACCCTGATGGTAAGATGGACAGTTTCCACGGCATACACCTAAATAGGCTTTTCACGCGATCTCCACCCAGAAACTTATTTGATGGATGCTATAGATAGAAAACTGTGCAAACCAAAAGAACTTAAATTACTAAAATCAACAGATGCACACACAATCCATCTGTTGTTAAAAAACTAAAAGAGACTAAAATAATCACAGCATGCAAAACGGTCACTGTCATACGTGCACGAAACTAAAAAGATACTAAAATTAATCACTGTGTTAATGTCACTGTTACTGGTGCGTACCGCTACTTACCTGTTTCAGTTAGCTGATGTTACTAATTACGAAATATAATGTCAAATTCGAAATGATGAAAAAATGCAATTAACCTTTCTCAATGAGGCTTTTGAACAAAGCATCATCTTCATTTTGACACGAAAAATGGCACTTTTCGTTCTTTTCCGTCTGGCCCATGATTCACGTACTGTGTAATTAACTACCGGGTCACTACGAAGGAATAGTGGATTAAATACGTCGGTAATTGTTTCAATATGGCCGCACTTTCTCGGCAGAAATTCACGAAAGCTCCGCACATCTTTATTAGTTGATTCTAATGCTTCTTCTGAAATTTCTCCCAATCCTTTACTATTATTTTTATAGTTTCATTATTATTAAAAATTGTTTATTAGTCATCGAGTGGGTTTTTTTATAAAATAAATAACGAAAACAGTTCAACACGTTTGGAGATTCCTTTATAAATTGGAGAAAATAAATGTCAACGTGAAAAATTCCAAGTCGTTATGTAACAAACAATGACAAAAGCGCTCACTAATTCGACGACGATAAGTAAATGAGGCTATTTATATTTTACCCTCAGACGTTGTGTAGTAACATACGTATCTCGATTACATTTTTTGATAAAAGTTTTCATGTTCATATTTTAGGATAGGAGCAGCCAAAAAGTTTCAAACTTTCAGAATAAACTAGTCTCATTGAGACCTTTATCTGTGCAAAGTTTAAAGTCTAAATTCGAAAGGTGATTATCCGGGGACATGAGGGAGACCACGGCACTTCTTTAAAAAGTGTAATAAAACTTCGATATCTCATGAAAGAAGGCCTGGAAAACCAAACCACTCTAAGGTATTTACCTACTCACTAGGTCCTGTCGAATGAGTATAGTCTCGACCCAAAAGCGATTTGACACCTGGAGAGGTTCCCTCGTAAGATGAGAGTAGTGTATCAAATGCTGTTCAAAAATACATGTTTGTCTTTATAGATTACTAAAAAAATATCATCAATTGAAAGCAAGACAATGGCTGTGGTCGCTTCTGTCGTAATTGATACTCTCACCGAACAATTCCTACACTCTATTGCCAAAGAACTCGGTATGGAATCCGAAACATCGGCAATGAACATATTGCGTACATATTTGGAAAATCGTAATAATATAGATATGGTTCTGAAACAAATTGGACGAAAAGGTAGCGTTAATCGTATTCTCGTTATCGGACAAACCGGTGCCGGTAAAAGCAGTTTGGTTAATCTTTTAGCTGCAAAAAAGGTTCATCAATAGCCAAGAGATCTGAAGACTTATAGAAACACAACGACTTGGAATTTTTCACGTTGACATTTATTTTCTCCAATTTATAAAGGAATCTCCAAACGTGTTGAACTGTATTCGTTATTTATTTTATAAAAAAACCCACTCGATGACTAATAAACAATTTTTAATAATAATGAAACTAATAAGATTTATTCATTGACATACATATTGAAAATGACACACCCAAAGTAAAAATCCCTAAGAATCTTGAAAAAAACGAAATAAAAATTTATATGTTGGATATCCAGATTATTATCATGTTCGTTGATCACGGTACTCCTCCCTTTCCTCTTCTGTCCCGTTCTCTCGTTTCTCTCCGATAGATGCATGATGTGGTAAAATACAATAGTCGTTTGGGTTTTTTATAGCGAAAGAGTGTTGTGATCGCAGTGATTATTATGAAAAAACCATTGATAACGAGTCGTAAATAACTTTATTTAGCCCGGTAATGGGCTTTTGAAGAAGATGAAACATCGATCTATGTGTTAAAAAACAGTCGTTTTCATCTTTTAACTGTATTCGTTAAAACATCACTCGTTATTGAGCCTCTCATCGAGGACTCAGTGTTAGTATCAGCCATCTGTTCAAATTTTTGTACAACAATTAGAATCAAAGTGGAAGAAGACTTGGTCTCATTGTTAAACTAGAGAAATTGTCACCAAAAGAAAATAGTATGAGACATGTTTCTATAAGTCTTCAGATCTCTTGGCTATTGATGAACTAAAAGTAATGAAGAGAAATTTACGCGCCATTATAATACAATTCTCTATGGAACATGGTGAAATTAAATTGTTTTATGCCAAAGAGATGATTGTTCGAGGTGCAAGTTAAACGAAATCATTTTTGCCAGAATCTTCTACATTAGTTCAAACACATGGAGAATCATTAGATCCTTTTCTACGTCCTGCACGATGGGTTCTGATCTCTCGTAATAAACATATCATTTTTGTAAGTCCTTTTGAAGCCAATTGGCTAATGGGTCGATTATACGATCTTTATCGTAAGCAATCACCTGGAGAATTATTGACTACAACATTACGCCTATTGTTATCACGGACTAGGCGAGATCAATCAATTATAGTTAACACAGCCATTTTAACAATCCCTCCGTCAATCGCACTCGATCGTGGTGCTGTTACGTTCCCAATTCCGACTGAATCGTTGGTGGCATTATTTACTTTTAACGGCACTCTCTACTTTGAAACTACCGATGAACAAACAGCCTATTGCTATTACCTAGGTGTATGTCCCAAACCTCGTACCGAGATTGAAGATGATGCTTTTGAGAAAGGTTGGATTACTTTTTCAGTTCTTAAAGGAACACGGCATGCTCCTGCGGTGTAATAAATTTCATTTCAACTCAGAGGATGAAGAGAGAGAGAGAATGGTGTCGTTGTAAACAATCTGTATTAGATTACTAAAGAACAGAAATAGTTGTAACAATCTGTATTAGATTACTAAAGAACAGAAATAGACAGAGGTAGACTATCATATGAGTAATGTTCATTGAAAGTTTGAAGTTTTTCTCGCGCATAGTTTCTAAGAAAATCGCATTTTGCTCAAAAACTAGCGTTTTTCTAGTTATCGACTGGTACAACTTGCTTCGACCATAACTCGGGAAGAAAGGATTTTCCAGAGCTGAAATTGTTAATTCAATCTAGTCTTGGTGTCTAGATGCTCTAGTAAAAATTTGATTCGGTTGATGTTAGTATAACCGCCTGTCTGCCACTGTCCTATTTTCTTAGACAATGGCTCTTAAAACCATCCAAAACTTGTTAATGTGGCACTTGTAGTGCAACGATGATACAGAACATAACACATATCAGCCGCTAGGACTTGAGTGATGAAATACTGCAGCATTTTTAAAACTTTAAACTTTTGAACGCAATTTACACATCCGAAAACTTTTTTGTAAACGTTTACTTCGTTGCACGGACGACGAATCACGGTGGACGAGCGTGAGATATTGAGAATACTTCAGTGGATGTAGCTACCTTATGTATGTCCAGAGTAAGAAAAAATATCAAGATATTTCTAGAAGATGTTAAAAATAGCTAGAAAACGTTGTAAAATATCCCCATCGGGATATAGAATGTCACCCTCCAGTATTATTTTAAAAAAGGTGGCTGGTCGGAAGAAAGAATCTGATGCAGTTTTTTACGCTCTTTTCAGTGGTATGGTCAAAACTTTCCGCGAACATCATCATTTTTTCACTAATGAATTTTATTTAAAAAAATCGAATTTATATCCCGATTGGGATATATGTTTTTTGGCTATATCCTAATCGAGATATAGTTTGATTCGAAACGGGATATATGTTCTGATCGGGATATAGAGCATGAGACTCTACTGCATATTCAGTTTTGATGTTGTAATCTGATCACGCCTCGTATTCAGTCGTATGAGAAATGTACCATAATTAATAATAAAAGCAATCACATAAATAAAAAAATCATCATATTATCTGATTAATTGTGTGCTAACTTTCTACATATGAGATGAACGACAAAGGGAAAATGAGTTTAATAGGGCAGTTTGCCCAATTTTCAGAAATCATGAAAATAAATGAAAGTTATATCTACTGAATAACATTTTTTTGCATATGATTTTACTGGCTGGCCTATTTCATAAATGGAATCAAAATCAACGATATGCCATGAGCCGTTTATATCAACCATAATATTGAATGACTTGATATCCACATGTATTATATTACGAAGATGTACATAAAATAAACCTAAATATGAATAGAAATTTATTTCTGCTAAAACACAATTTGCATATCGCATCATCAGACATATCTGCAACTATTGTCCATGAATAGGTTTGAAATAGATTTTGAACAGGTGAAACAGGTTTTCTATGAGATCTTTGGAAAACTAGGCCGTGTGTAAAAGTTCTTCAATAGGATTGTATTGAGTTTTTTCATGGACGAATAGCCCAGGGTGTTCTCTTCAAATTCAGTGTCAAGCGAAACCTTGATTTTCCCGGTTCGGACGTGGTATCGGATTTCCTACGAGCTCTATGACTGACATAGATGGCAATTGGTACCTTTGAAGACGGATGAACTATGCGTAATCTACCAGAAAAGCAATGTTAACTTTTGATTAATTCTTTTTTTCTATGCATATGATGAACTCGAATTGATCTACAATGATCTTTTAATATGTTATTTTTTCATGGCAATGCCTCTTTCTACCAAACCACTCTAAGGTATTTACCTACTCACTAGGTCCTGTCGAATGAGTATAGTCTCGACCCAAAAGCGATTTGACACCTGGAGAGGTTCCCTCGTAAGATGAGAGTAGTGTATCAAATGCTGTTCAAAAATACATGTTTGTCTTTATAGATTACTAAAAAAATATCATCAATTGAAAGCAAGACAATGGCTGTGGTCGCTTCTGTCGTAATTGATACTCTCACCGAACAATTCCTACACTCTATTGCCAAAGAACTCGGTATGGAATCCGAAACATCGGCAATGAACATATTGCGTACATATTTGGAAAATCGTAATAATATAGATATGGTTCTGAAACAAATTGGACGAAAAGGTAGCGTTAATCGTATTCTCGTTATCGGACAAACCGGTGCCGGTAAAAGCAGTTTGGTTAATCTTTTAGCTGCCAAAAAGGTAGCAACAGTATGTGATGGCGCCAACGGATGCACATTTAAGTTTGAAACATATCAAGTTGATTATAATGGAGAACTGTTTGAATTGATTGATACAGTTGGTTTAAATGAAGGTTCAAAAGGCACTGTCAAGCCAAAGGATGCAATGAAAATGTTAATTAAGTTTATCAAAGGAAACAAACGGGGATTCAGCTGCATTCTCTTTGTTATGCCAAAAGGACGAATAACTGAATCATTTGAAAAAAATCATATGCTCTTCTGCCGGACTCTACTTATATAAATCTAAATATTTTACTAAATAATTTTTTAGCTCAAGTTTGGAACAGTAGTAGAGAAACATGGGTTTCTTCGAGATAAAATATGAAGTTCTTGTGGAGAAACATCGGTTTCTGCGGGAGTAAACATGATGTTCCTGTGCAGAAACATCGCATTCTTCATGAGAAAACAAGAAATTCTTCTGGAGAAACATGGGTTTCCTCTCGAAAAAACATGAAGTTCTTGTGCAGGAAGGCGCAAACTGAACTCAAAAATACCTGAAACTTCTGTAATTTTTGATTTTTCGAGAAAAAATCATGAGGAAAAAACATAACGAAATAAGCAAATGCACTGATCAATCGTTTGAATGCACTTAAAACGGTTTTGTACTGTACCTTGTCTTCTATGAAACATAAAAGGGTTTAGAAATGGTTGCACTTCTCTATACCCTTTTAAGTTTCGTAATAAACCTTTTTTTTTAGAGAGCATAGCGTATTCAAACGCGGTTGAAGCGCTCGGCAGTGAATGTGTTAATAATGAAAGCATCAGTTAATTTTTCGCTGTCTATTCGAACAGCATCTGTAAAGTCATAGTAGAGAAGCTTGATCATTCGAATACTATAACTCTAGCGTATCCACCACAATGCCCTATTTACACAATCATAAGCTTTGTGTAGGTCTCTAAAGCGTGAATAGCGGGTAAATTGCTGATCTTTGTGCTCGAAGTCGTGCTAATTGCTGCAAAAGCCGACGATCGAATATGACGATCAAGGGAGATTGGAGCAAAGATTTTACTAGCCTCTACCAAAAATGATATACCGCTGTAATTATCGCAGATCCGCTTATCACCTTTGCTCTTGTACAGACGTATAATCAACCCCATCATCCAATGCAGCACCATTTCTTCGACGATCCATATTTCTCAATAATTTGATGCAACCACTTTGCTGAAGCCATTCTCCTTGCTTTGAAGAATTCGACAGTTAATCGGTCACTCTGCGATTCTTTAGCTGTTTTATAGCCTGTAATATCTTGTGTAGTGGTGCTACTTTAATTAGCGATAATTTTCTATGAGATAGATTGCAGGTATAGGTATTTGGTCCAATATACTTTGGTTAATCACTGTGTACACATTCAGTGCCTCATCAAAATACTCTTTTCTCCAACAGCGAATGAATTCGAGGATAAACGAGAAATAAAGCATTACAGATGAAATGTTACACTAGATTCTTGTTTGTATTCGATTGATCAAAAGTATATGTAAATCACAATGAATTTCTTCAGTTCATTTCACAATTCACTACTCCAGACGCTTCAGTAAATTTTCTATAATGCGACGGTCTTTTAATATAACATATGATTAGTGGCATCAATCGATTATTTCGTTTTTTAGCATCAGAATTCAACCCTTTGTTCAAACATTCGTTTACACTTTAGTCTTTTTTATTCGTTGTCCCTTCAGATAGTGCTGAATATTCTAGGAGTAGTTAATTTTTATTAGTGAGATTTTTTATTCAAAAATGCAACAATAGAAATAACATTCAAAGATTGCGACGAGAAAGAAATCATTTAAATTTATTTAATAATTTTATTGAAAGTACATATAATTAAAAAAGAATATATAATCATATTGACCAATGCTGTTTCCATTGTCAGCTCGAACTCACAGTTGCTCATGTCTTATAAGTGCTCTTTTGAGAGGGTATTACAAAGTGATGATCGTCTTAAAAAAAATGAAAAACAAAAAAATATTATCATCTGACATTTAAAAATAAGATTCAAAAATCTCTGCCAAAACTTCGATTTGTCTCTTATTAAATTGTTACACTGTTACTTCGTTGCTGAATGGATAGTCCAATTTTTCTCTTGGTGACCAAACTGAGTGATTTTATCCGAGAGTAAACTTGATTGTTTTTATTTTAACGACATTAGATAACGATGTATGTATTCTGATATGCTTCAATTAAAATACTGTGAAATAAAAGCATTTTTTATTTTGATAAAATCGTCATAACTCATATCTGAATAAACATCATAAAACTGTGTGGCAAATAATTTTGGTTGCTGTTGTTGTTGTGTTGTTACCGGCAATGATTTATCTTTTGGTATTAATTTTGACGATGCTTGACGCCCATTTTCAAATGAATTTTCTTTAAAAAGTTTTTCCGATATATTATCGTTCTTATCTAATTCCTCGTCATCTTGTTCAGTTTTTTCTTTCGACGGTTGTTCCGCGGATTGAAGTCGAAAAAAGTCTAAAAGCAAAAGCAAAAGAAAATATTATTATTGATCACGTCATTTAGATGTTATGATAAAAACTCCCAACCTTGTTTTAATCTTTCTTGACTTGACAGGAGTCTTGCATGTTGTTTTTCACGATCGGCCGAAATTTTTGCTAATAGTTGTGCCTTTTTCGCTGCCGTATCAGGTTTTTTAGGTCCTTGATCAGTTGTAGCATCTGATTTCAATTTTCCCTTTTTCAAGGAGTTTTCCATTCGTTTTTTCCAACGAAATTGAATTAATACACGTTTACTTTGGGTGTTATTGAATAGAACAGCAAAATCATCAGCTGTTTGGTTAAATACATCTTTCATATCAACGTTTGCATTATGCTCTAATAACGTAGTCATAACTTTCAAACTACCATGTGCTGCTGCGACCATCAATGGTGTTCGTCCAGATGCTGTTTGATAATTAATTCCAACATCTAAATGGATACAATTTAAAATGGATAAAAGCCAAAAAGCAAACAATAAAAACAGTCTTTTTTCTTTTGTCTTTTCAAATTTGTATTCACTTAAATTTAAATTTTCGTCTTTTATTATTCAAGAATATACTTTCAATAACATATTGTGAAAAACTTACGTACTGTGTCGACAAAGGAATTCAACAATATTCAATTTTTCTCGATGTGCTGCTGTAAACATTGCGACACTCGCACGTTCATTTATGTATTTTAATTTATCTTCCGGTGATAGTCGGTCGGCAATTGGTGATGAAAACTCTAGATGTGGCAAAACACCTAATTTTGAAAGCTACAGATAGAAAGTATTCACTGTATGATGCGTACATAAAACAAGTGTACATATATTTACTTTAGCCTCATCGCCCGCCACGACTGCTTGTACAATTGGCTCATATACATGCCAAACAGTTAGTACAAATGTTGCACCGGGCACAGGATCGTAATATTTTAATTTTCTTTTATCAAGCAAATCTCCTGAAATTAAAATTTATATTATTGCAGGAGTGAAAATGAAATTGTTATGTCACAAATACCTTCATCTAAATATGTGATCCATTGTAGATGTGCAGGAATTCCGCAAATTATTTCAAGAATAACTTTTAAATCTCTGACTGTTGAATCAAAATGAATATCTTTCAAAACGAATCGTTCATTTGTTGCTTTCAAAAAGATGTTTAGCATGGTTGCGTTTCTTTAATCAAAATATCAAATGTTACCATGAACGTTAGTTTTAATGGTCGTAACGATGGAATCAGCATTAACTAAAAAAGAAACAACAACCGCGACATCTATGAATGAACAGACTAATGAATTTTTCCATATGAAAGATTAGCAACATTTGTCGATAAAAGATTTTTGATTATGCTCATGGTATTTTTACAACGAATAAAGATCTTCTCAGCTGACTATTAGCAAATGTTAGAAGCGAATAAAAAATGCAAGCGAGCGTGAGAGAGAGAGAGAAACAGAAACAGAATTGAAAGAAAGAAAAAAACATGACTATTAAGTTAATAAAGTGAAGACTTATGGGCTGAAGTGAAGTTATATGGAAAACTACGATTGCCAGCTTTAGAAGTTCGAAAAGCAAAAAAAAGCAGATAGACTTTCTACGAAAACCGGAAAGCAGTTTTTTTCGCTTCTCGACGCGTTTGTAAGAGAAAAAACTATTTGGCGGGATAAGGATGCATTTTTCAGCAGGTTTAGGAAGCGTGACGATTCACTTTATAGATGCACTGAATAGAAAATAAAGTTTATCAAACGTGATTGCATTCAATCAACGAAGAAAAATGAAAACGGCAAAAAAAAGATTTAAACAGTGGAAAGGATGGGAAAAGGTGCAGAAAGACTCTAGTGGTAATCTTGTGGAGAATAAGCGCTTTGATAAATTGCCGTAATTTATATAAAAATTACATTACTAAGGACTTATAACTAGTAACTCCATCAAGATGTTGAGTCCTCACCCAAGTACAAAAGTCCAAATTATTCAGTAGTAAAGTGTCTACTCTGAGTATATTAAAAAATTGAGCTTCTGTTTAAGTTGTTCATTTTCATTATTATAAAAACGACAGTTCAAAAAATAGTGCTCAATATCTTCATTATCATTCCCACAGCCACATTTAGGAGAGTCAACATATTTACGCTTATATAAGTAGTAATTTAAAGATGAAAAATTAGCTTTTACTCGCATGAAGAAAGATTTCAGATTGTCGCACAGAAAATTTCAATTGTTTAGAAAAAACTCGTCTAGATAGTAACTCAGCTTTTTTTATATACAAAAGAAACGTTATCTATAGATGCTAAACTACTCTAATTATTTTATGTATTTTTGTACTTTTTTCTGTCTCACCCTATACCGAAAGATAGTATAGAATATTTTTACTTTACTTTTTATATACAGCAAAGATTTAAATCGCTAGCAGCACATCATTTGTGCATATTATCACTCACATCCTCCACTGTCTTGCCTTAGCTTCTTCTATTCTAACTTAAAAATTAGTTATTTTCTTAAAAGTTTGCCATTTTTTTAAATTCATCATTCTCAATATTGTATTAGGCCCATAATAGGACTTGTACTCGCAAGCCTTTTTTTTATTAAGAATCAATAAAGAAATAAACTAATTGCAATTTTCGTATTCTATTTTTAAATAAACAGTCGTTTTTTGTTTGAAACTCATAAATTCACAAGACTAATACCGGGTGATTCGTCGATATAGTTCCGTTTCAAAATATTACCGTCAAGTTTTATGAAGCGAAATGAGAAGTTTATTTTTAAAAAAAATGAATGAATAGTATAATGTAGAAGATTCTGGCAAAAATGATTTCGTTTAACTTGCACCTCGAAAAAACTACAATCATCTCTTTGGCATAAATCAATCTAATTTCATCATGTTCCATAGAGAATTGTATTATAATGGCGCGTAAATTTCTCTTCATTACTTTTAGTTCATCAATAGCCAAGAGATCTGAAGACTTATAGAAACATGTCTCATACTATTTTCTTTTGGTGACAATTTCTCTAGTTTAACAATGAGACCAAGTCTTCTTTCACTTTGATTCTAATTGTTGTACAAAAATTTGAACAGATGGCTGATACTAACACTGAGTCCTCGATGAGAGGCTCAATAACGAGTGATGTTTTTGAAACTGGAGATGTAACCGGTAAATGATTTTCTTTGTTGTCTTTGAAAACTGTCTGTCATTGTTTATTTGAATAGAGGATATCGAATCGGATGATCCCCGTCTCCATTTTATAATGATCTATTTAAACATGATCTATGGCACAACTCCAACAGACTTTAAAAAGTTGCTGAGTAATGAAACAAATAAATTGTTATTTGATTTGTTTCTTGATCAATTGGATCGAAATATAATACTAATATTTGAAAATAATGATTCACTCACAGTATCGAGTGAATTTCCAGTTCATTTGAGATCAAAAATAATTTGTTTTATTAAACGAAATGACGCATCGATTGAACGTAATGAAAATATAAGTGGACAAATAGCTGTGGCAGAATTTATACATTCATCTATTGCACAATTAGCATTATTCATTTCTGAAGTATTATTTTATACGAACACTTTTTGTAGTTTAATATATATGAAACATTTCATTCAATAGATTTGTCCTATTTCAGGTATTATGGCCTATTCTTCAAAGACGAAAAACACTACGTCAATTACCTGATCTTGTAATAAAAAGTTGTAATCAAAATATCAGTGAATTAACAAATCTATTAACTGTTGTTAATGGAGTTTTAAGAGGACGAACAGTATTACCTATTCCACGTGAAATACAATTTATGCAACGATCAAATTATTTGAGACTATTGACACAGTACGCAATTTTTCGATTTATATTCGTCAATATTAGTCAGAGTTTTAAATAAGTTACTTCTATTCCTATTGTTTTCTCTTTTTTTATAGCAATAAAACGTTTGATGGTAGAAAAATTCGTTTACTAGAAAATTCAGTTACCAGTTGGAAAAGTCAAATACAAGCAGCAATTAATTATGATCGTGATCCACCATATACAAAACTACATCCATTTCCAAATGTTGAAATTGATTTTTGGACAACACGTACCGATAATTTACAAGGAATAAAAACTCAAGTAATTTTAAACACAGTAAGGGGAACTGCCCCGCTTTTCTGACCCTCTTGGAAACCGTGGAAATTTATACTAGACATAGAATATCGCAAAAGAAAATTGATATATTTTGCCCATAATTTTCTGGCGTATTCTTCTATAGGTTTTCTAGAAAATTCTAGTTTTCATTGGGTACATTACGATTCCTCGAAAAAATGATCCGATCGAGCTCAAAATTTTACCACAGATACTTTAGACCCTGTCTCAGGATGATAATTTTGTTTCGAAAAATATGCTTTCCTTCTCGAGCTATTCGAAAAATACTAAAAATCCTGTACAACAAACCGGTTTTTTATTTTACAAACCTTCTCACGCCAAAAGTTGAAATCGAAAACGCTTAAAAAGAATTTACACTCTGAGATAGCGTCTAAAGTATCTGAGGTAAAATTTTGAGCTCGATCAGAGAAGTTTTTTCGAGGGATCGTAATGTAAGCCGATTGAAGGGACTATAGAAAAGATGCATTGTGAGAAAAACACATATTGTACATAGGACTCTGTTTATCAGGGCATTGCGATGATGTTTATATTTCCACGAAAACTCATCGAAAAATTCTGGAAGACGCTTCACTTTGAAGAGCACGCTTCCATGCTATTTATAAGAAGAAATTTTGAATATATAGGGAAGGAGAGAAAAATTTATGAACCTGAAAAATCGCAATTTTTTAGGCTTTGAAGGAAAAAATTAAAAAATTTCAAGGAAGATCGTGGAGAGCTGAGATGGTCTCATTTTATAGCCCTAGTAGACTTTCCACTACACTAGACTATGTTCAGCTCAAAATGAAAACTTTTCTGCAAAAAAGAGGAGAGGATACTCTTAATACAATGTGTTTGTCTATTAAAGTTAGTTTATTTTATGTTTAGTTAGATGCCTTAATTGTTCGTCGTCTTGTTGAAGTATTAGAAATAGCCGGTTCCAATTATTTTTCTAGTTTTCGTGCTCTATTTCGTGATCTTATAGAAGCTCTAATTGAAACACAAAATATTAGTCTCTATTTACAACCACTAATTTCTATACTAAAATCCATTGAACAATGTCAAGAACTTGAACAATTACCACAATATTTTTTAAATTTATTTCATACATTGGCTCTTTGTTGGAGTCATTCATCATATTATATGAATATCACACGTTTCATTAATTTTCTTCAACAATGGACAAATTTAGTTATTGCAAAGGTAAAAGTAAAAAATTTTATCTATCGATATAGACAACGATATATTTCTAATATTCTTTGTCATTTTTAGATTCGTGATTTACTTCAACCCAACGAATTGTTTGTTGATACTGATTTTGATGAACCATTACAAAATATTGATTTGGCACTTGAAGTATGCATATTGTATAAAAAAACATATGACACACGTAAAAATCTAATATCAACATATTATAATAATCGTCAAGTTCGATATTGGGAATTTCCTGAAGTAAAAATATTTTCTCGATATAATAATTTTATTCATCGTTTAAAAATATTGAAAGATATTGTTGCTACTGCAAAAGAATGTTTTATCTATGAGACAATTGAAATTGGTGGAATTGATGCTGAAGAATTACAATTATTACTACAGAAAAGTGTAATAGAATTTAAAAGTGCTTATAACACATTTCATATACTATCAGATGATATTATGAATGATTCAAATGATGTTAGTAATCAATATATAACTTTTAAAAGAGTTTTTTTAACATAGTTTTATCTTTTTTATTTTTAAAGGAATTTTTGAAGATATATGAACAATTTCGAAATCGTGTTATAAGCTGTGATGAACGAATAGCAAATATTTTAAAACGATTATTACAGCCATGTCATTCAAATATAAAGACAGATAATATCGACAGTATCTATCGAGTAAAATTGAATTTATTTATTTTTCTGAAAAATATGTTCACAGTATGATTATTCTATGTTTTCAGATATTAAAAATATTTGATCCCACATTACAACGTGATATTTTGAAAAATGTTGTCAGTAATTATGCAAATACATTATTGACACTTCTTGAGTCAGCACTGAAAGATGATAAGGCATTATTCGATGAATATTCTAAAGATATGAGAACAACGTGGCTATTGAATATGTCCCAAGTGGTGGCTGATCTCAATTGGGCTGAACAATTGCGACTACGTATTATAAATAAAATAGAACCCTTAAAATCATTAAACTTAAGGTAAAATATTCTTTATTTTCTTTTCTTTTTTATCATCATCATTCTTTTCTTATTATTTTTCATTTTTACTAGTATTAAAGATAAACCAACGTACGAACGAATAATTGAACAAGAATTGGATCTACTAAATTTATTAAAAAAATTTGTTGATGATACAAATGTAAAATGGATGAATGGATTTCGAAAAGAAAATCTTCTACATTTAAATGAACCATTATTAAGAAAATATGATGATAAATATTATGTTGTTAATATAAAACCAGAGGTAACCCAACTATGCTGATCGTCAAATGCGATTTCAAATAATTCACTAATAATAATAATAGCATTTTTATAAGTATAGAAAATATGTAACGCATTTATGTATTATAATCTGCTTTAGCTTACTACTGCTCTTCATGAAGTGATGCGACTGTATCAAATGCATAATATGAAAATATTCGACGAAGCTGAAGTTTTATATGGACAAATGGATCGATTTTTGCAACAATTTATTGATCTGGGTATTGAAAACAAAATTCTCTCTTAATAAAATCTGTGGAACAACGGTAGTCGAAGCAACTGATAACATATTGGTGTTTAAGCGTAGCGAAAATTGATAATATTTCGAACTTAAAAATGGCCATAAAGGTTGAAATACTGTCAATAAAGTAACATAAACACCAATAGATTATCAGTTGCTTCGACTACCATTGTTCCACAGATTTTATTAAAAGTTTTGACTATTAACAGTGAAAATATATGAGATTCTCTCTTGTTCACCATAAATGCTTTGTTTTTTTCAAAGATTACATAACAAAATCGTATCGACGAATCAAAGATAATGTACTAATCATCGAATATCCATTAATTCGTGAAGACTTAATAGCTATTGAAGCAAATTTAGAGAAAGCTAGTACTACTGTCATGTTTAATATCGACATAGGTAAGAATTCGTTTGATACAAAAGTGCAGAACTTACTGGAAGTTTTCCGTTGGATAAAGTCAACATTTCTCTCCGGCTTCTAGAATTGATGTAGATAAAGCTCAAGAGTTTCTCTTGTGACTTAAATAGAAAAGATCATTGATATTCTTCTTCTGATTAGATCATGGATAATCGTCTTAAGACATTCTTTTTTTAGTTCATCAGTGGTAAATCTATTTCAGACTCAACATTTTAGAATCTTTTTAGATTCAACTAATTTCATACGAGGTTTACGAACCTCTTTGAATGATTTAGAATCGCGTTTATTCAAGAGTAAATCAAATTTGGATGAAATGAGAAAAATATTAACGAAATTTCTAAAAACGGCTTTGTATTCAAGAGGAGAAGTAAGACAAGATAATCCGTTATTGATGATCTATGATAAAGAAAATCGAGTTTTGAAACGAAACAGTGATTTAAGAAATGCCGGTGTTCGACTGCAAGAAATACTAAAGGTAGATTATCACAGATGTTTCACGATTTAATCTCTCGCAAAAAGCTGCTCTAGTCTAATGGCTATTGATTTTTTTTGTCTCTTAGTAAAAATAGTTTTTATTTCTAATTTACTGATTTGTTCATCGTGGTTACGATCTTCTTAGCGAATGTACTTGAGACCAAGTACTTAGAAAAGTACTACGGTAAGTAATGTCCAGAGCGCCTGGAGTTTTTTGCAAGTAAAAAAGGTAATTTAATAAATATAAGTACTAGGTAAGTACTTCATCAGGTATTTGACAGGTAACTTGGTAGGTACTTGCGAAATGTAGGCAAGTATCTGAAGTTCTTCCAAGTACTTGGCACGTATTAAATCTAAGAATGCTTGACAAGTGCTTAAGGGTATCCCTCTCTTTTTTCACCTTGTTGCCAAATGCAGATCACACGACCGATCGAGCTTAGATTAGAGATAGAACATCGAAAAAGAAAATCGATATATTTTTGCCCAGAATTTTCTGAGATGTTCTTATATGGGTTTTCTGGAAAATTCCGGTTGTCTTCCAGTCACATTACGACCTCTCAAAAAAATGGTCCGATCTAGCTCAAATTTTTACCACAGATACTTCAGACTTTATCTCAAATTCTAAATTTTTTTCCGAAAAATATACTTCAGTTTTTTTCACTGACTTTCAGCATTTTTCGTATATCTCGAGAAGGAAAGTATATTTTTCGGAAAAAAAATTTAGAACCGTTCCAACATAACCAGATCTTTCTTTTTCCAGACCAATGAATGATGTACAATTTCTCTGTTATGTATTTTTAGCAAAACAAGTGGTTGTTAAAAGCTGATGCAGATTCGGATACATGGAAATCTTATGTCGATTATATGGATGAAATAGTATTGGAATTATTATATGAAATTATTCAATACAACTTGGATTATTTACTCGAAGAATCAAATCCATCATTAAATAAACATCCACTATTCGAAGTCTCTTGTGTATTAGATGTTAGTATAATTTACTTCCTTTTCAATAGTACCGAATCAACGGTAGGTTATATTTAGGATATCGAAGTCCGTTTTAGTCCTACACTCGAATTTGGTAGTGCCGAAGGCTTATACGATATGGTTGATACACTAATTGGAAACATATTTCGACAAGCAGCAATGGTTGTAAGACTAGCTGAACATTCGGGGCAAAAACATTATCAGGTACTTCTTATTATTTTCGATTTGTATATTATTCTAAATTGTCTCTAATATAGGATGATTTAGAAGATATGAAAGAATTAAATAATTTTCGTTTACAAATAATGGAACGTTTAAGAATGACGATGGATGAGGCCAATATGTGGAAACTTATGGTGGATGAATTTTCCTATCTTTGGTTAGATGATAGAAAAGAACATATGAGACAGTTTCTGTTGTATGGACGAGCATTAGAAGGTACATATAAAATTTGATTTTTCTTCAATTATGACTGTTTTTTCCTCTACAAAGAGTCCGAAATTGAAAATCCTGAGAATGTAAAGGAAAGTCCACCAAATTTACATCAATTTCAAAATCAGGTTTACTACTATGTGCAATTTTTATGAACTATAATAATTCACTTGTTTTTGTTAATAGATTGATTTATTTCAATCAATTTATAATGAAATTGATAGTTGGAATCAAAGTTTACTATTTGGTTCTTGGCTACGTGTTGATTTAAGGCCATTAAAACGAAGTTTATTAGTATTAGTCACAAAATGGATTAATTTGTATAAAAATTATCTTATTGATCATGTAACAGTCAGGTGACTAAAATTTCTTCGTCATGATTTTAAGAGTACCCCTACCCCCCCTCTTTCTTGTAAAAATTTCGCATTTTGAGCTGAGCATACTCTAATGTAGAGGAAAGTGTGGGCTACAAAATAAGATAACTCCCAGTACTCCACGACCTTTTTTCAAAAAGTTACGGATTATTGAAGTTTTCCCTTCAAAACCTAAAAAGCCTCAATTTTTTCTCTCATTTTCTGTACATGCAAAATTTTTCTTACACATAGTCTGATAGAAGAAAATGTTTTCTTCACAATGAGACATTTTGCAGAATTTTTCGATGACTTTTCGCGGAGATATAAGCATCGCGGCAAGTGCTCTGAAAAAAGTAACCTATGTACAAAATGCGTTTTTTCTTGAAAACTATTTTTTTGCTACTAGGCTGCATTGTCCCACATTACGACCCCCCTTAAATTTCATCCGATCGAGTTCAAAATTTTACCAGAGGTACTCAAGACACTATTGCAAAAGTAATTTTTTGGAATTTTATTTTAGACTTTTCTTTACCGACTTATAGGGTTTCTAAATTGAAAAACTTGGTTTTTGAGACGTTTTTCAGTATTCTTTCTATAACTCGACCAGACAAGGTCTCAAAACAATTTCCCAAAAATTACCTCTGCTGAATGACCTTGAGTATCTCTGGTAAAATTTTGAACTCGATCGGATGAAATTTAAGGGGGGTCGTAATGTGGCACACTGAAAACCTGTTGAACGGCAATAGTTGAAAACTTGAAACAAAAAAGAAAACGTGGTCCATTGAGTTTCCAATCAGTTCTAAAAATACGAAGTCCTAGCGACTTTTAGTTTTTATTTCACAGCATTTCTACGGAAAGCCCGAAAAGAGACGGGGGGGGTGCCCTTAAATGCTTTTAATCTTTAACATTCGATTAATTTTGATTCTTTCGGATACTGAATGAAAATGTTGTATTCTAGTCTTAATGAATTACAATCATTTATTAAAGATGCCACGACAATACTACAAAAAGAAGTTAAATCTGGTGATATAACTGGTATGTGCTTATAGAAACTCTTTTTCTCTGTTGATTTCATCTTTTTTTTTAAAAGGGTTACTTGAAATGATGACATTTCTAAGTTCTGTTCGTGATAGACAAGAATTTACTGATGATATGGTTGAACCCAGTAGGTCATACTTTACAATAAATTAGCTCAATAAACTACCATTCATAAGCGTGTAATTTCTGAATAATTTTAGTTAACGATACGATTGAAATATTAAAATCTTATGGATACGAAGTTCCACAAATGATCTATGCAATGCTTGATGAATTACCTGAACAATGGGTGGTAGTAAAAAAAATGGCATCTCATATGAGACAAGAAATTGGTAATATATATACAGACTCATTACCCGTGTGGTAGTTGTAAAATCATTGTGATAAATTTATTTGTTTACTTTTTTTTCTCTTTATAGCACCTTTACAAGCAGTTCAAATATCAGCAATTCGTAGTCAAATAACAGCAATGGAGCGAAAACAACAAGAAGTGCGTGATAAATTTTTACGTGATGCACCATTTAAATACGATATCGCTGAACCTTATGGTGAACTAGATTATGTAAGCAACCCTAAGTCTTGTCTATAATTTTTATATTCATTTTTTATTTGAAACTAGTGGGCTAATCAATTAAAAATATTTGATAGTGAATTACAACAATTACATCAATTGGCTTCAGCATTTGATATTAGTGTACTAGAATATAAAAATATAAAATTCTGTCGAAAAGATATGAAATCATTGAAACAATTATGGGATCTAATTTTTCTTATACGAAGTCGTATTGATGAATGGACAAAAACAAGATGGAGAGATGTAAATATTGAACAAATAGATCAAGAATTACGTGGAACGTATTTGAACAAGGAATTGAGAGGTCAATAAAGCGTAGCAGCATTAATATTAACTTCGAAAAATTTTGTATATATCTTTGTTTAGCATTAGCTAAAGAATGTGGAACATGGGACGCTTTTCATGGTATCGAGAATGAAGTTAAAAATTTGAATGGTGCGTTACGATCCGTTGGAGAATTTCGAAATAATGCAATTCGATCTCGACACTGGGAAGAATTAATGAAAGAAACAAATGTTCGAATCGACATAACCGAAGAGACGAGTTTGAATGATTTACTTGCATTGAATTTATATCGATATGAAGAGGAGGTGATGTATCAACTCATTAATTAAACAGAAATATAATACGATTCTTTATTTGTATAGGTCAAAAATATTGTAGATAAAGCTGTTAAAGAAATGGGAATGGAGAAAATTTTGTATGATCTTGAACATATATGGTCCGAATTAAAATTTGATCTTGATAAACATTCTCGAACAGATGTACCACTTATTCATGTTAATGATGAAATCTTGATCGTTTTAGATGAACATCAGGTAATTCAAGATGATCTCATATTTTTTTTAATGATATTTATATTTAATTTTTGTAGATACAATTACAGAATTTACTTTCATCAAAATTTATCTCACATTTTGTTGGAGATGTAATGGCATGGCAAAGAAAACTTTCAACCGCTGATATGGTACTTCAAATAATTACAGAAGTTCAACGTGCATGGTCAAATCTTGAATCAATATTTATTGGAACAGAAGATATCCGATATCAATTGCCAAAAGAAGCCGCCATCTTCGATCAAATTGATAAAGAATTTAAGGTAGGTATTTATAGAGTTGATTTAGAGAAATAGTTTATAATTATTCGTCGATGCAATAGATTATTGCAATAGACAATATGTCAGATTTAAATTTTATTCGGTGTACAAATCGGCTTGGTTTATATGACCAATTAGAAAAACTGAAGGATAATTTGCAAACTTGTCAAAAAGCATTAGAAGATTATCTCGAAACAAAACGACTGATATTTCCAAGGTGTGTAGAATTGTTTAATGATTAAAATACATACAAAAAAAAGGATTAATGTATCTATACAAATGTTTAGATTTTTCTTTATATCTGGCACTGAATTACTTGAATTTTTATCAAATGGCAATGAGCCAGAACGTGTTATGCATCTTTTAACAAAATTATTTGATTCATTACATAAATTAGACTTAAGAGAAGATAATAATAGTGTTAAATTAAAATCAGCATATGCAATGTACAGTGATGATGGTGAACGTATAAAATTTTTTAATGATTGTAATTTGGAAGGTGCTGTTGAATTATGGTTAGCTCGATTACTTGATTTTCATTGTGAAACTATTCGCTTATGGTTAAAAGTAAGTGTTTAAAAATAAACTATTTTAAAGTTTGACTAACTATTTTGTTCTCTATAGGTAGCTGTTGCCGCATACGAGGTAATTACTGTTAAAAACTTCTTCAAAATTCAAATTTTAGTTATATTTAGGATAAACCTCGTGAAGAATGGCTCTTTGATCATCCTGCACAAGTAAGGCATTATCATTTTTAAATTAGAACCATAATGTTGTTTAATTATTCAGATAACTTTGACGGGTTCTCAAATATGGTGGACAGCCGATATATTAGCGGCATTTGCACGCATAGAAGAAGGATTTTCCAATGCATTACGTGATTTTAATAAAAAACAGCTTATACAATTAAATACATTAATTGGCTTATTACTCTCTGATTTGACTGACGAAGATCGAAATAAAATTACAACATTGTGTCTTATTGATTTACATGCTCGAGATGTGGTGGTAAGGGGCATAACATGTTAAGAGTAACAAAATCAAGCAAATGTAATACGATTCATAGCGTGGTCAGCACTTATATTTGGTTCTAAGTTATCTCGTTCGATGTTACTAATTTGAGGTTGTAGAAGCATTTTCTTGTCGAAAGAATGAATTTTCAAAAAATACGAATGAAATTTCTCGTTAAAAAAATTCGCATGTTTTCATATTTCGATTCATTTACTTTTAACTGGAAACTTCTCTCACTCAGAATTAGATTTTCATCTTCCATGAAAATTTTAACGTCAAAAACTTTCTATAAAGTCAACTATTGGACATTAAAATAGAATTTTTGGAAAAGTGTTCAAAGTTCAGCCATAATAACGACAACAGAGTGAATCTTGTAATGTATTCAGTTCGTCGTCGTTCTAACGCTGTCTTAACTTTAAAAAAAATAGTATATTCGTAGAGTAGAAATTTCTTTTTAACTTCAGTTGAAAAAGATTGTATCAAAAATTTTTAGCCTGCTGTCTCCAGTTAACCTTCTTCTCTAGTACATGATGACAAATACATAGAAATCGCTTCCCTTCAGAAACATTTGGAGTTCGCTTTTCTCTGCTCATGTGGCTGAACTCTGAACATTTTCTCAAAGGTTCTATTTTAATGTACAATAGTTGATTTTATAGAAAGTATTTTTCTCTGAAAAATGACGTTAAAACTTTAGTGAACGATAAAGATCTGACTGTGGAAAAGGAGTTTTCAATCTATAAACACGGATTTTTATCGTTTTCTTTTTTTTTGCATTTTACTTACGTTATGCGTTTTCTTAGTGCTATTACGAATTTTGTCAAGAATTATCTGTATATATATTTTTTATTCCAGGCGAAAATGCTCGCTAATAAAGTAGGTATAAAACTTCGTTTCGTATGATGTCTTATTAAACAAGTGTTACTTTTCAAGATTGAAACAGCATCTGAGTTTATATGGCAATCTCAATTACGACATCGTTGGGATCCGAAAGATAATCATTGTTATGCGAATGTGTGCGATGCCAAATTTCGATATCAATATGAATATCTAGGAAACAAAAGTCGTTTAGTTATTACGCCATTGACAGATCGGTATGTTAAAAATTAATGCTATCTGTTTCTTTTAATGATTATTGTAGCATGATTTGTGTCTTGAACAGTTTTTATCGTTAATTTCAATGCATTTTTTTTACAACGTTCCTAGACCGCTAATGAATCAAGTACTAAGTGTTCGAAGTATTTGTAACATTATTTGTTTCACATATATATCTACTCCAGCGGTTCGTGAAATGTCAATTTATCAAAACAACAGGAGAGTCCAAATCGTCAGAGATCAAGTGCATTGATTTAGTGAAATAAATCTATTTCCCACTCAGGTTTTTATTCTTTCTGTTTGACACTCAAAGAATAAGCGCAGTGATAATAAAAATGTGGCTGATATGTGTGACTCTATCGATTACTGATATTTTTCAATGCAAGTTCTTTGTCACATCGTGACCTGTTTTATAAAGTTCGAACTTTCAGAAAAAGCTGATATGTTTCTTCATCGTGATAGCGTCTATAAAAAACTGTCCTACAACTCCCACCTATTTTTCAAGTGATCCAATTTCGCAAGTGTTTCTTACAAAAATGATATCTGCGCCTCATTATTATGCAAAAAAACAGAAAGTAGAAACTTACAAGCCGCTAACCATTCGAGGATGGCAATTGTGGAGCGACAAAATGAAATAATGTCATTCTGCCACCACAAAAACTTGACTGATAGAACAGCTCTATACGCTGTTTGAAAATGTTGTTGGTTCCCTATCGAAAGGTAAAGCTTAAACTTTTTGACGAGTATATTCAGTATCAGAATTAGGTTATATAAAGCTAGAGAAATCATGTAGAAATTAATCAGTGTCATTATTTGGCCTTGAAAAACTTAGTTTCGTATGCCTTTACAACAACATTTAACAAGATGCTGTAGAGAATGGTATCTATTGAAAAAGAGATTAACATTTCACACGAGTCGCTGAGACGAAGATATACGTGAAATATATAATGTTGCAAATATTTTCAAACATCCAGTACTTGCCAAGAAAATCAAGTATTTGACTTACTCTACGTACTTAACTTGGCCAAGTACTTGCTCAAGTAACTTGCTGGGTCTGGCAAATACTTTCAGATACCAGAACAAGAAACTATCCAATGGCATTTTGCAAAAATACTTTCTGTTTAGAGAAATTTACAAGTAAATAAGTACCAGCTCACAAGTACATTCACTACGGTTATTCTTTCTCACTTCATGTACCCATAGTGCAATAGAAATCAGTCTATTTCCACGTTCAACCAAACGAACTTTGACCTAAAATATATTTATTTATAAAGAATAGTTCGATATATGTTAAGGAATTTAAAATGTTAAAATAATTTATGAAGATATTTTTAGATATGTGACCATTCTCTTTTTCATTATAGATGCTACATAACACTGACACAAAGTCTGCATTTGTTTGTTGGCGGCGCACCGGCAGGTAAAAACCCAAACTGACCTCAATTTAGCATCGATTTAACACATTTTGTGCTTTCTTTTCTTCTAGGACCAGCTGGAACCGGTAAAGATAACTTTCTGAAAGGTATATTAAGATTGAATTAATTATTCTTCATTAGGAAAAACTGAAACTACAAAAGATCTCGGTCGCTCTCTTGGCGTATGTGTCTTTGTCACAAATTGTTCAGAACAAATCGATTATAAATCAATTGGAAATATGTTTCGAGGTTTGGCAATGAGTGGATGCTGGTAAATGTTTTATTCTTACATCAACTACTAGTTGACTTCAATTTTTTTATTCATTTCATAAAGGGGATGTTTTGATGAATTTAATCGAATATCTGTTGAAGTCTTATCTGTTGTTGCTGTTCAAGTCAAACTTATATTTGTATGTAAAATCGAAATATTAAGATAGAAAAACAAAATAAATGGTTCGTTTGTTTATCAGGATGCATTACGTCAACGTCGTAAAGTATTTAATTTTATGAGCGCTGAAATTAAATTAAATCCAGCTGTTGGCATATGTAAGTAAAATGGTTGGACGACGGTGTATTTTCAAGTTTATTGATCAAATATTTTACTATTTTAGTTATTACGTGAGTATTTATCACTGATCTAAGCTATTCTTATAACTACTGTGATAAATTTAAATATTGTAGAATGAATCCTGGCTATGCTGGCAGAATGGAACTTCCTGAAAATTTAAAAGCTTTATTTCGGTCTGCATCTAGACAGTTTTATATTATTGTTAATCTTATATTTCTGTTTCGTTTCATCAATAGACCTTGTGCTATGGTTGTACCAGATTTTGAACTAATTGCTGAATTGAATTTAGTTAGTGCCGGATTTACTGATGCTAAATTATTAAGCAGAAAATTTATAACTCTATATACACTATGCCGAGATTTACTATCGAAACAAGTAAGAAAACAGATATAGAATATGAAATTGTATTCTTAAGACTGTTCTCCATCTATTATTATTATTAGGATCATTATGACTGGGGTCTTCGTGCTATTAAAAGTGTGTTAGTTGTTGCGGGAAAATTACGTCGAAGTGATCCAGACATGTCTGAAGATAAAGTATTAATGCGAGCATTAAGAGATTTTAATATACCAAAAATAACTATTGAAGATATGCCCATATTTTTGAATTTAATCGGTGATTTGTTTCCAGCACTCGATGTACAAAGAAAACGGTATAAATGAATTATTTTTTATAACAAAATGCTATATACAATATCTCTCAATCTAGTGATCTTGATTTTGAATCAAAAGTTCGACAAGCTGCTGTCGATTTACATTTACAAGCTGAAGAACCATCACCAACAGTACAAAATAATTTTGTATTAAAAATTGTACAATTAAAAGAATTATTTGATGTACGACATTCAGTGTTTATTATTGGAAATGCAGGAACGGGTTTGTTTTCATGAAAAATATTTTACAAGATTCAAATTTCAATAATAACTTTAAATAGTACATTTTTCTAAATTAACTATGTCTATTTTAATATACTTTCTCAGGTAAAACACAGATATGGAAAACGTTATTTAAAACATATCAAAATATGAAAAAACGTCCACAAGCAGTTGATCTTGATCCAAAAGCAACGACAAATGATGAATTATTCGGTTATATGCATCGAACGTAACTAGAAACACTCTTATTCTGACAATCCAATAATTCATCTTTTATTTTAGAACACGCGAATGGAAAGACGGTAGGTATATAGTAGAGTCCTAAAGAGACAACCTGTTTTGCTTCTTGATGTTGAACATAAAAATTGTTTACACATTCTGTAAGTTCAAACCCTTGAGCGCAAAAGAACGTTTTGACGAGCCCGTCTGCTTTGTGAAAAAACATTTTTTTGCGCGTTGTTCTGCAGGACTTTGATATACAGAACTCTTTTACTGAATGAAATTATGGTTTTATTCCATAATTAAAGGATTACTTTCATCGATAATGCGTGATTTATCAAACATCACGTATGATTGTCCAAAATGGATTGTATTAGATGGTGATATTGATCGTAAGTATATAGTGACTCTGAAAACTATGTAAACTTCACATTGTTCTATTTCAATTATTTAAAAGCAATGTGGATTGAATCGTTAAATACACTTATGGATGATAATAAAATATTAACATTGGCTAGTAATGAACGTATTTTATTAAATGATACAATGAAATTATTATTTGAAATAAGTCACTTAAAAACAGCAACACCAGCCACTGTTTCTCGTGCTGGTAATCATTTTGATAGTGTTAGATTAATTGAAAGATTTATATGTTCTTCTTCATACTAGGAATATTGTATGTATCAACAAATGATATTGGTTATTCACCATTGTATCAAAGTTGGGTAGAACAACGAGAATCAAGTGTTGAAAAGAATCAATTACTTATATTATTTGATAAATATATTCCAAGATGTTTAGAATTACTTCGTAGTGGACGTATAAGAACAATAACACCATTAGTTGATGTTTGTCATGTACACATGTTATGCAATATATTAGGTTAATTTAAAGTTTATATTTTTGATATATTTATCAATATTTAGATATTTTGTTTAAGATTGTTTGTTTACACCACAAAATCTTCCACCTGATTGTCCCAAAGAATGGTATGAATTATATTTTGTTTGGGCAACAATTTGGGCTATTGGAGGAGCATTGTTTCAAGATCAGGTTTGATTATTCAACTGTTAATTATTTATGTTGATGGTTTGATTATCTTTTTATGATCGATAGTTGATCGATTATCGTATCGAATTTTCAAAATGGTTTATCCATGAATTTAAAACAATTAAATTTCCGACCCAAGGAAATATATTCGATTATTCAATTGAACCACAATCAAAAAAATTAGAATCATGGTCAAAATCCGTTGAAGAAGTTTCATTCGATGTTGATTTGCCTGTTCAGGTAGTGCAATAACTTTAAAATGAGGATAGATATTACATATATTGTCGTATATTTAGTCTCAACTAGTACCAACAATTGAAACGACACGTTTATCATTTTGGCTTGAAGCTCTTATTAAAAAAGGCGTATCTGTTATGTTTGTCGGTGCTTCTGGTTGTGGTAAAAGTGTTTTAATTACAAATAGATTGGAAAAATTGAATTCTACTCATTATATTATTTCTACAATACCGTTAAATTTTTATACTACATCTGAAATATTGCAAAATTCATTAGAAAAACCATTGGAAAAAAAAGCAGGTCGAAATTTTGGTCCATTAGGGCACAAAAAACTTATCTATTTCATTGGTAAATTATCTTTTTCTTTTCTTTTTTTCCCCAAATCTGTTTGAATTTAATTTGTTTTTTTTCAATATATAGATGATTTTAATATGCCTGAACGAGATAAATATTTTACAATTGCAGCACATACAATTGTACGTCAGTATTTAGATTATAAACATTGGTATGATGTAAGTATACTTGCAAATGAATATAAGAATTTTAGTTAACTACTATTTAATATATTATTAGAGACAAAAACTGACAATAAAAGAAATTCGAAACTGTCAATTTGTCACGGCTATGAATCAAAATGCTGGTACATTTTCTATTGATCCAAGACTTCAACGACATTTTGCAACATTTGCCGTAACATTTCCCAATAAAGTAGGTATTAAAAAAAGTTTCTAATATAGATAGTCTGTCTACTGTGTATTAATTATTTATCAAACATCATCTTCTCTAGAAGTTTATATTCTTCATTGTATATTTTATCTAGGCTGCATTACACACAATCTATTCAACAATATTAGAATCTAAATTTTCTCATTTTTCTAAAATTGATCTAAAAACTCAAACAAGTTTTCTACATCAGTTTGTTAACATTGCTATTCATTTTCATCAACGTATTTCGAGCGTATTTTTACCAACAGCCATTAAATTTCATTATATATTTAATTTACGAGATTTATCAAATATTATTCAAGTAAAATAGTCTGCTCTTATGGATGATTATTCAAATAATAGAAAATTAATCATTCATTATTAGGGAATGTTATTTGCATCACCAAAAATTGTTACACGTCCACAAGATTTTATTCGTTTATTTCTACACGAAGCAGAACGAACATATAGTGATAAATTAGTTGATAGTGATGATATTGAAACATATAGTAAAATTCAAGTAGAAATTATTCGAAAAAATTTTGAGGTCATTTATATTTATTATAACCATTATTTAACATCTTCTGACAATGAAAATCTAAAATTTTTAGTTTGTCAGTGATGAAATATTTCAAAAACCATTGATTTACTTTCATTTTGCTGGTGGAATTGGTGATGCTCAGTACACAAGTATATATTTTTCACTTTTCCATTCACAGGTATTAGAGATATTTATTTATTGTAATAAACAGGTGTTCCATCAATGAATTATTTACAAAAACTACTTGAAGATGCATTGAATGCTTACAACGAAACAAATCGGACAATGAATCTCGTATTATTTGAAGATGCTTCTGCACATGTAGCAAAAATTAACAGAATATTAGAAACACCTCGAGGAAACGCTCTATTGATTGGTGTAGGTCAGTATTAGAAATAAAATTTAATAAATTGTTCATTATATTCTCATTTGTTACAGGTGGTAGTGGAAAACAAAGTTTAGCTCGTTTGGCTGCATTTGTCTCATCACTTGATGTATTTCAAATTACTATTAAACCTGGCTACAATATCAATGATTTTAAAGAGGATTTAAATTTATTATATCGTCGTGTTGGCTTAAAAGGTCCTGGATATGTTTTTCTGTTGTCGGATGCACAAATAATTGATGAAGAATTTCTTGTCTATATCAATGATTATTTATCATCGGGTGAAGTCTTTGGATTGTTTGATGATGATGAGATTGAAGAAATAACCAGTACGCTAAAATTTGAAGCCAAATCACAAGGTTATGAAGAAACAAAAGATTCAATATGGAAATATTTTATTGACAAAGTACGACGACATTTAAAAATTGTTCTCTGTTTCTCACCAGTTGGATCACTGTTACGGACACGTGCTAGACGATTTCCAGCCATATTCAGTGGAACAATTATCGATTGGTTTCATGAATGGTATGTTAATTATTCGTGCAGTGAGTACCTTTAAAATGATTGTTCAAAAATGTAATGCTTTAGGCCACGTGATGCGTTGAAGTCTGTTGCTGTTCGATTTTTAAACGATTTAAATCTCTCTCATGAATTATGTAATGCCATGGCTAAATTTATGGCTGATATACATGTAGCTGTTAATGATGCATCATTACAATATTTTGTCAATGAGAGACGTTCATATTATACTACACCAGAAACATTTTTTGGGTTTATTAAATTTTATCAACATTTGTACAATGATAAACAACAACATTTTGATTTCGAAATTGTTCGATTATTCAATGGTCTGAAGAAGTTGGATTCAATTAGTGAACAAACAGCTGTTTTACAAGCAGAACTCGTCATTACAAATGCAGAAGTAAACACAAAAGCCGAACTAGCTGACGCTGCTCTAAAAGTAAATAAATACCAAATATCAAACTTAAAATAATAAATCAATTATTTTAAGATAGTGACAGCAGAAGCTGATAAAGTAGCAAAAGAAAAGTCTGTTGCTGATGAAGAACGACGAAAAATTGAAACAAAAAAAACGAGTGTTGAACATAAACAAATAGCTTGTTCAGTTGAATTAGCAAAAGCTCAACCAATTTTAGACGCAGCTCAAAAAGTTCGTTTGTTCTCGTTTTTTATTGAGTATTAGAATAAAAAAAAAGTTGTAAGATGTATTTCTTTAGGCTTTGGAAAGTATTGAGAAAAAAGATGTGACGGAAATGAAGTCATTTGGATCTCCTCCATTATCTGTACGAAAAGTGATGGATATGGTTGTCGTTCTTTTTAAATGGGTTCGAGAAGGTAGGTTATTATTTAATTTATCGTACTACATACAGCACTACTGATGATTAAAATATCAAATTATCCGAAAATTTCACGATAACTTGTTTTGGATACGACCAGCAAGAGGCGTATTTATTATATGAGAAATGTAGTAGAACTTTTATTTCATTGTCAGTTAAGGTACAAACTTTCTCGGCGTAGAAAGAATCAACGGCTAGGAGCTAATCTCTTTACAAAGATTCCCTTAAGTTCTCGTTCGACGCAGTTTAGAGGCGATTCAATCTTTCACTTGAAAGAAAGTATCATAGTATCATAGTATCTTAGACTTTCAACTATTAAACACAAAATTAATTTAGTACTTAAACACATGAACTTATAAGTGTATGACGAGATTGTGTTCATTTCATAACTCAGTTGTCAGAACGTTGACCTGGTTAACCGAAGTCGCTTCGGTTCGATTCTTAGCCGAGGCAAACATATCAGCTTTGCTGGGGTTTTTCAAAGCAATATACCACCATTAAAGTCGTTATGAAGACGCATACCATCATAAAATATGAAGAAAGCAGATCAACTGCGCAACTGGTAGCATAGTTGACCGGTTATTCTGTTGATCATCAGCAGGAAGGTCGCTCATTCCCTTCCGTCGCCTGGAGATCTCCTGCCATAGAAGACTTTTTTAGTTTTTGTACGAGAACAGCTAAAAATAAGAAGACAAACAAAGTTTGACTAAATAAATTCCATTACTCTTCCAGTAAAAAAGTAGAAAGGATGAAACTTCGTGTGTTATTAACAGACCATTAGGGTAGTTACAGAAAAAATGTTCAGCCCTTATCTCACTGTTTTCACTTAGTTATGAAATTTTTTGTGTTGTTATACGTCCTTGTACGAGAAACCAAAAAATATTCATAACTTTTGAAAGCAGCAATAATGGCTCAAATCCTTTCAGGTTTTTACTTGGACGCTATCCTCTGTCAAGTGTTTAGAAAGCGGAAGTGCTCACCTAAGAATGTTTCCTCGTTAGACATATTGAATTGTCTTTGTCGTTATCTTATACATTTGTTGTCATCAAATAATTCGACTTATAATGTTGAATTATATTTGAGAGATGAGTGGGTGGAACTGATCCGATCGAATTTGATTCAACTTTTACATATTTATTTATGAACAAAATAGTTTTTCAAGACTAGAAATCATAAAAACTTAAAACATTTTTTTGGTTGGTTGTCGTGGAATCAAAATAAACGAGAGTCATCGCTATTACATACAGTTCACTATTCGAAAGTTATGATCTTATGATCAAATAAATCTCTTTATGACCTTAAAATTTACATAGGGAAAATTATACCTCCTGAACAACGAACATGGGTGGAAGCTAAGAACACAATTGGACAAGTTGATAATTTTCTTCAACAATTACAACAGTTCAAAGTTGACAAATTGACATCTCAAGTTCGCCAGTTAGTTGATACATTGAAGGTACAATTATTAAGCACGTTAAAAGATCCCACAAAAGCAAAAACTGAAATTGGACAGATATCTTTAGCTGCTGGTAAGTTATTCATGAATTACACGACCGTTTTAAGTCTTTTGGTATGGTAATGTTAGTATTCTGTTTTGAATTTTTATGCTTAAACTGGTTCTACGTACAATTTTTCAATAGGCGGCATTTACGACTGGCTCGAGAACACACTTCAATATCATACAGTTTATGTAGATGTTAGACCGAAACAAATGGCTTTGGACGCTGCGAACGATGAATTGAATCGTGCTGAAAGAGACTTTTCCAAAGTATTAGCAAGAGTTCAAGTATTAGAAGATAAATTAAAAGAAGAAAATTTGAAAATGCAGCGTGCATTGTCTGAAAAAGATGACGCTATACGCAGTAAAGAACGTCTGGCAAGACAAATTGATTTAGCTGAACGTTTAGTGGGAGGATTGACATCAAGTCGAGTAATATGGACTAAACGTATTAACCAATATCGACTTGATTTAGAAACATTGGCTGGTGATGTTTTATTAACATCAGCATTTGTCACTTATGCAGGATATTTTACGAGAATGTACCGTATTAATCTTGTTAACAAATGGAAAGCATCGATTATTGCTACGAAGGTGACATTACTCATTATAAGTAGTTTCATAAACTGGTCTGTTATTCTTTTCCAGGGCGTTATACCAATACGCGAAGGAATGCAACCATTATCGATTATTATCGATGATGCTGACATAGCTGAATATTTAAATCAAGGGTTACCAGCAGATCAAACGAGTTATGAAAATGCTGCAATATTAATCTATTGTTTACGTTGGCCGCTGATCGTTGATCCACAAGGACAAGGTCTGTTGCACATACCATCTGCATTTAATGGAGCAACACCTGAATTTTGTTTCTTTGTACCTACACATAGGTTTACGTTGGATAAAATATCGTTTTGGTGATAAATTAGTGTCATCAAGATACGGATCAAAGGGTTATTTAGATCGTGTAGAAAATTGTATTAAACGTGGTGATACGTTATTATTGGAAAGTGTCGAAGAAAACATTGATTCAGTATTAGATCCGATTATAAGCAGAAATTTTATTCGGAACGGAAAAACCGTTAAATTTGGTGAAAAGGAAATTGATTATCATCCAAATTTTCGGTAATCGCAAAAATTTTCATAATACATCTAATAAATCATAACCATAATTATTTTATTTCAGATTAATAATGCAATCTCGTCTTGCCAATCCAAACTATCGACCCGAGATTCAAGCACAAACCACGTTAATCAATTTTAGTATAACACGTGATGGTTTAGAAGCACAATTATTAGGCGATGTTGTTGCGTCTGAACGTCCTGATTTGGAAAAAAGTAAATTTGAAGTGACACGCCAACAAAATGAATATAAAATTAATTTAAAAAAACTCGAAGATTCACTACTAGCTCGTTTAGCAACAGCTGAAGGAAATTTTATTCAAAATGTTGAATTGGTGGTGACGTTGGAACGAACGGTAGCTACTACAGTAGAAATTGAACAAAAAAAAGTTGAAGCGGAGAAATTTAGTGAACAAATTGATAAAACACGTGAACTTTACAGACCGACAGCTGTTCGTGCATGTATAATCTATTTTGTTATGAATGAATTATCAAAAATTCATCCAATGTATCAATTTTCACTCAAAGGTAAACTCAAAATATATTACATTGATCATTATTCTTAGAATCCTATTGATTTTCTAGCATTTAAATCCGTCTTTCTCAAAGCGATAGATCGAACCGAACAAAATGAAGATATTCGAATTCGTATAGAAAATTTAGTTAATACTATTACATTTGCATCCTATTCATATATCGGACGTGGATTATTTGAAGAACATAAACTGATATTTACTATGCAATTATTGCTCCAGGTAAGTATTGTTATATTACTTCAACGAAGTTTTTGAAGTGCTCAAATCAATTATCATCATTTTGTTTGACTGATGATACTCATTTCTAGATATTATCGGATAAAGGTGAATTAGATCCGGTTGAATTAGATTTATTGTTAAGAAGTCCACAAGAATATCATTCAAGATGTCCTGTAGAATTTTTAAATGATAAAGCATGGGGAAATATCAAAACTATAAGTCTTGTACCACAATTTCAAGGTTTAGATCGTGAAATAGAAACATCAAGTAAACGATGGAAAAAATTTTTAGAAAGTGAATCACCCGAAGTTGAAAAACCACCGGGTGAATGGAAAAGTAAAACAACCATGCAACATTTATGTATATTAAGAGCTGTTAGACCAGATCGAATGTTATACGCACTGAAGTATGAGTACGTCCATCAAACATTAGTCGTATATATTACACCTTTTTTTAGATTATTTGTTGGTGAAAAATTAGGAAAGAAATATATCGAAGGACGGCTACCTGATTTTATACGGACATATGAAGAAGCATCAAAATCAATACCGATCTTTTTTATACTTTCTCCAGGTGTGGATCCACTGAAAGAAGTTGAAACATTAGGAAGAAAACTTGGATACACATCTCAAGGTGGAAAATTTCACAATATTTCACTTGGTCAAGGTATGAGAGATGAAAAAATTTTTGTATTTTACTTCCTGTTAAATTTCACTCCCTCAGAAATCTATCTCGATAACCATAAGCCCGATTTTGACGAGACTTTTGGGAAGTATTGACCATGTCAAAGCGTGGTGACGAAATTACGCTCTGTTTGGTTTTAGCAGTCATCACAAGTCAGAAATTTGAAAAACCTGATTCAAGTTCTTCCGAAATCTTTCTCCTTATTAAAAATTAGGTCTAGCTTCACAACCTGGCCTCTATCCATAAGTTTTATCTTCAATTTAAGACAGCTTCTAACTCTCCATCATCTAAACTAACGGAGAAATTCTGCAAATACAAACGGCGAGAAAGTGTATGCCATATGTGAGAAATGATGGCGCTAATGTATGGGATATTATTTAGGACTCTCAACAAGACTGTTATAACTTCTGATCGGACTAGTATGTAGAGTTGGAAAATGTCTCATTCAAAGCCGAAACCGGTTATCTTGAAAAGATTTTAAATTAGGAATACGTATGCATTTAGTTGCATTTATCAAGAAAGTAGTTTTTCAGGGCTTTCAGAAATCGATTTCAGAAACCATCGGAAACGTTTACAGGAGGAAAATAAACATGGAATGCGGTGTCAGGCACGTCTGATTACACTTCGCTTCATTTTGGATTTGAGAGAGGACCTTAAATAAAGAAAGAAAGAAAATTTGTTCTAGGTCAAGAAGTAGTTGCTGATAATGCATTAGAAGTATCGGCAAAAGAAGGTCATTGGCTTGTATTACAAAATATTCATCTTGTTGCCCGATGGTTGCCGTTACTTGAAAGACGACTTGAACGATTACTAGAAACAGCGCAAGAAAATTTTCGTATATTTATGAGTGCTGAGCCCTCAGCTGATGCGAGCACTCACGTTGTGCCACAAGGAATATTAGAATCATCGATAAAGATCACTAGTGAACCGCCCACCGGTAAATCTATAGATAATTTGAACATTAAAATAAAGGAATGTTTTTGTTTCTCTTCTACAGGCATGTTGGCTAATTTGCATAAAGCATTAGATAATTTTGATCAGGAAATTCTCGATTCATGCAGTAAAGATATCGAATTTAAAGTCATTTTGTTTGCATTATGTTATTTTCATGCTGTTGTCTCCCAACGAACCAAATTCGGACCAATTGGATGGAACAGGTAGAACCATCCCAATTGTGAAGTAAGAGATTACTGATCACAATAGTTTTTTTTTTTAAAGGAAATATCCGTTTTCCAATGGTGACTTGACAATATGCGCTGATGTATTACGAAACTATTTGGAAGCAAATATAAAAATTCCTTGGGAAGACATACGTTATATATTCGGAGAGATCATGTATGGCGGTCATATTACAGACGATTGGGATCGTCGATTATGCCGAAATTATTTGGAAACGTATATTAATCCAACAATGTTTGAAACTGATCTTTATCTGGCACCTGATTTTCCCTTGCCAAGTGCTCTGGATCACAAAGGATTTCACATGTATATCGATGATAAATTACCATCTGAAAGTCCTAAACTATACGGTTTACATCCGAATGCTGAAATTGATTTTTTAACTCAAACGTCAGCAAAATTATTTCGTACTTTAATTGAAATTTCACCACGAGACATGTCAAATAAAGCAACTACTACTAGTCAATCAAGAGATGAGAAGGTTCGTTTCTATAAAAGGTGAGTTCTAAAACAATATCATTTTTTTTATATGCTATTCAGATACGAACAGTATTAGAAGAAATGCAAAATCATCTACCTGATGATTTTAACACAATTGAGTTACGAGCGAGAGTAGATGAGCGTAATCCATATGCTGTCGTAGCATTGCAAGAAGCGGAAAGAATGAATAACTTGTTAAAAGAAATTAGACAAAGTTTGAAAGAGTTAGATGGTGGTTTAAAAGTGAGTGACTTTAACTATATTAATTTCTAATAATTATGTATATTCATTAAGGGCGAATTAACAATATCACTTGAAACGGAACTACTACAAGAATGCATATTTTTTGATCAAGTGCCGATGTAAGTTTAGAAAGCAAATGTTTAATTATATCATATTGTTTTGCTTTAGTCAATGGGCTAATCGAGCTTATGCGTCGTTGCATCCTCTTGGATTATGGTATCAAGATCTTTTAGCTCGTTATCGAGAATTAAACAATTGGGTGCCCGATTTTCAATTACCCAGCTCGTTGTGGTTAGGAGGTCTATTTAATCCTCAATCATTTTTAACAGCTATTATGCAAGCTACAGCAAGAAAACATGATTGGCCATTAGATCGAATGTGTTTAGTTGTAGAAGTAACGAAAAAATCGATGGATGAATTAAATAGCTCACCAAAAGAAGGAGCGTATATTCATAGGTACAACTTATCACTAATATAGATTAATTCTCATTTATATTTGTTCTACGTTTATTTAGTTTATTTATTGATGGTGCACGATGGGATCGTCAAACAAACTTGTTATCAGAAGCTAAATTAAAAGAGATTACACCACCAATGCCCATCATATTCGTTAAAGCTATTCTAATTGATCGTCTAGACACAAAAGGGACATACGATTGTCCTGTGTATAGAATAAAAACGAGAGGGTATACGTACGTATGGAAATTCAATTTAAAAACTAAAGAAAAACCGAGCAAATGGGTGCTAGCAGGAGTTGCTCTTTTACTCCAGGCGTAGTTTTTATTAGTATTTTTGTTTATATTAATCATACTCTGTATTGTAAATTGATCAGTATTTTTAGATAGCCTTTTTTATATACTGAAATGTCTGTTAAAGTACAGTTTAAGTTTTTATCAAATAGTGTTCTAAATCCAATGGAAAATTCATCTTTAATTACAGATAAAACTAATTTTGATTTATTCAAATATGATGAGTATTATAAGAAAGTCTAGTATATTATTTTAACAGCGAGATATGGACAAAAAAAGATTGGAGTAAGCTAGCGTTTTCACAGACGAAGTTATCTGTTACCTGTCTGTTGAATCAGATAATACGTTCAAGACATTCTATATAACACAGCTCTACCATGTCTTTTACTTCGTTGTATTCACCAAAAAACAAAGCCATTTTTGAAATTTCAATCTCCATTGCCTACTGTCGGAAAACATAGGGCAGGAAAATTAGTCGCGAAAATATTTTAGGTGTAGATCTTTTAATTCATTTGATACCGGCACTGTCTATGTAGTTGTTACAAACTTGAGCATCAGGTATCGTGGTAACAGCTCCATTTTATCAATTGCGACATCTATATTTTTTCACAGAGTCAACATTTTGGTTAACATTTTTATCATAACCGATTAATCTTATAGTTTTCAATCGCTAAAGTTTCATTTCATACAAAAGCATTATTTTGACAAGAGTGCTGTGACGAAGATTTACTTTAAAACAGATCTATTAGTGAAGTACAATAGAGGCTTTTTCACTAGTAATCTTGTACAATTTCCGCTAGTCTTCACAGAAAGTTAGAGGAAACAATTCTTGAGACGGTATCTGTTAGTGTCTGAGTTCCATCACAAATAAGATGAGACATACAAGAATTGTGCAGAGTTCTGTGGAAACGTTTAGTGCCACCCTAGTGAATGTACTTGAACATAGGTACTCAAGTTGGATACCCCCATATCATAGGTGCTTGCAAGTAAAATATTACTTAGCGGGTAAGTAAACCCGGTACTCGCATAGGTACCTAAGAAATCTGCAAGTACTCGGATACCTATCGTCAAGTATATTCACTAGAGCAGTGACATATAAAAATCTGCACTGTGTTTACCGGGGAATGCCGTCAGCACGTCGGACAATAATTAAAACACAAATGTGGTATAGAGCGAGAATATTTCTGACTGCGCGGTAAATGATGGTAATGGTCGATCCCGAATAATGTGTAAGTATACACGTTCACGTTGCGTTTGACATACTTTACACCACATTATCTTGTATTTATTGTGTGCAATGCAATAATAAGCACATTATCCAAATATTATGTTTGATCTGAACAATCTAAATTTACGTATTCTTCTTCATATATCCACTTAGAAACACAACTCAATATTTTTTCGATATGACTTTCGATTTTTTTTAAATGTCTTGTTGTGCAATTCCATATCAAAGATTCTTTCAACGATGCGAACCATAATGTGTATTTAACACCGTCGTCTCTGTAAACGGGTGCTAAATCGCTGTGAGTTACTTCTTTTGGCTCCGTTTAGCTAGGATTAGTCATAAGAACAAAGATATGTTCATTGGTTAAATCCACATGACAATCACTTTTAAAAATCAATTCGAACTACTCAACGTCTCTGCATTCCATTCGTATTACTTGTTCTCTCTTAATCTTGTCAATGCAGTGTGCGAAACGGTTATTGTTTTTTACGAGAAAACTCATTTATTTATTCATATAGGAGATAATAAACTGAAAAAACACATTTTAGTTTCTAAGGAGACTTATAAATAAGTTTTAATCGAACAAATACAAATGGATTCTATCATCATGAATTTTCAGTTAACTGATAGAGTATATTTTTATAATATAATAACAAGAAACAATTTTATTTTTTTTGTAAAAATAAAACGGTTAACAAAAAGAAAATACTAACAGATAAATATACCACACTTAGAAATAAAAAGAAAAGTAAAATAACAATGAGGAAGCACCGAAAAACATGCGCATCAATGGAAATATAGTTCTTTTGTATAAAATAATAAATCGATGATAAGATATATTTGGTAGATGTATATTTTGAAACGGACGGTAGAACACTGTCGTTGCTATTTTCTTTTTATTATTGCACCGGATACAAAAACAAAAAATATAATTCTTATATTTAATTTGTAGTCTGAAATTGATTTGTCCACCAAGCTTCTACTTCTACATTTTTTTTCTCAGCCGAATTTGTCGATGTCCAACTTCGCCATGGATAAGAATCATCAATTGTCGTTGAATAGCTTGCTATGAAAAAGAAAACAAACAAGAAAATGTATCTCTAAAAAAGTGAAAAGTGAAAAAATAATCTTACTCGGTAGACGTTTAGAATTTTTTTGATCTAATCTCACAGATGTATCATTGGGAATATTCGCTTGTGATCGATAGTTTGCAGTCTTAAAAATAATAAGAGAAAATTTAGTATTTTTAATGATAAAACCTAAAAAAAAAAATAATTTGATTTACTTCGCCCGCTGGAGTAGGTAACGTTATACATCGTTCCAATTTTCTTCGCGCTGTTTCTTTATGTTTATCATCTTTTGTTCGTCGATCATCATCAGCTTTCTTTTGGGGATCTGATGATGTAGCTTGTGCTTCTCGAAAAAATGCTAATTCATTACTTCGTTGTAAACTTTTAATTACATTTGATTGATCTTTCTATAAAAAAAAAAAAAGAAGTAAAAAAAACATATACACATCCAGAATTGTACTCAATATTATTATTAAGTTAGAAAAATATCATAAACTAACCGCTTTAATTCGTTTCAAACATCTATTTAACCAATTTCGAATTGTTAATTTGGCTACTTCTTCTTCAATAAGATATTCTAATTCTTCACGAGCTAATAATTCTTCAAATTGTAGAGATTTACGAATTTCTACAGAACGATAGGCTAACATACTAAAATAAAAAAATTATGACATCAATTTTTTTTTTGTTCTGATATATTAAAATATCTTCAACGTCTTCTTAGTATTAACAATAATAAAAGTAAAACATACTTTAAAACATCATGAAATGTAACATCAGCGCCATTATTCAATTTTTCTATTTCATAACACATATGTTTATACAATTTTTCTGCATCAACCTCTAATCGTCCCTAAAATGAATTTTTTAACATTTTAGTTTTCAATATCAATTTGTTTTCTATTAATTCAAATATTGTTTATATATATATATATAGAAATATATACCTTTAATAATCTTAATAAAAATTTAACTCGTCTCGCTGGTATAACACCTTTTCTTGAAATATCTACCATATTCCATACTGTTTGAAAATGTCGTATATCATTATAACTAAGTAATGCATCTTCTTCATTTGAATAAAATAATGAAAAATTTTCCATAATAATGGCGACTAATAAATTTAAAACTATATATGTTATAATGATATAAAATGAACAAAAATATAATATTGATGCTGTAAAATTTCCACAATCACTTTCCCAATAATCATAACCACGAGTACAACGTGGTGGAACAACCTATAAGAATATAAAAATAATTTTTTAGAAGAAAAATATTGTTAAATATAGTCTAACATACCATACAATCATGCATAATTTTATTCCAATCTTCACCCGTTACAATTCTCATTAAAAGTACAATAGCATTGGGAACATTTTTAAAATTAGCATGTCTAAAAACAATATATTCTAATATTAATATATGAAAAAATTATTTTATTATTAATATAGAAAAATATACCGTCCAAGTTCGGGACCAAATTTGACACATCCAAATAAAATAACGCCAGCAAATGCATATACTAACATTAATAAAAACATGCCAGATATAATAAAGAAACTTTTAAAAAATGACACAATAATTGTTAACATGAGCATTTTTAATGTAGCCTAAATAGAAATGAATTTTTTTTAATGATAAGAAATAAGAAAATTAGTCTTAGATATAAAACTAACATGTTTGCCAGCAATTGTAAAAAATCGAAGAATAATCACCGTAAAACCAAATGTATTACTAAATTCTTGCTAAAAATAGAAACAATAGAAAAACAAATTAAAATATCAATACGGCTAAAACGCGTAACTGTCACCCTCAGCTGCGGTAGGTTGAGTGATATTTTTTCTCTCAAACCAGTCTTAAAAGCACATTGCTAGACGCAGTTTTTCGCCTTGATTATGAATATCAACTTTAAAACGAATAAAACTCAAATTTTTAAATCGAAAATTCACATTTTAAACTTAGAGGCTCTTTAATTTCAATTTTCTAACCTACTTAGCTTTTTAAAAGATTTCAAAAAGTATATCAGTGAATAGAGAATTAAGTTCTCTACAAAATGCACTATTAACTTTGTCAAAACAATTTTTTAAAAACACATTTTACACATTAAACACGTTTTTGCTGGGTTTTGCCGAATTCGAAATGGTACTTTTTTTGGAGCAATTGTACGAAAATCAAAAACATGTCTGCCACCGTTCTTTTCAGCTTAGTTTGATAGAGGGCACTCGATTGCATAAGACTCCGTGCAAATCAAATTTATAGACGTCTTTCTACCGATAGAACTATAACGATAAAACCCACCGCAAAAGGAAGTAAAAAAGTGATGTAATTCTGTCATGAAGCCATTTTGCCTGTATCATTTCATTTAAGCATTTTTAAGTAAAAGTAAAGAGATGATTCGAAAGCTTTTTTCATGCTCTACAACTTTTTTCTGAATATGTCTCGTTTTAGAGCATTTTTCAAAGTTTGTAGAGCACTAGACAAAAAGGCTAAAAAAAAATAATTTCGTCGCGATTTTGCTCATAAAAACCGTTATACTTGACCAATTCATTCTAAATTTTGACCACAAACCAAACATCCTACCACACATCTCTGATAAAAATTTCGTCATCTTTTGTTTAGTATTTGAGGAAAACAAGAGCTCAAAAGTTGAAAAAATGTAATTCCGTCACGCGCGTTTAAGCCGAATAATCTTCTATGAAGTAGATATTTATTTCCTTTGATCATAATGTCATCTGTATAGTCCAAATCTTATTATTTGTTTTATAATTTTCACTTACTATGTCTTGTTTTCCAAATGATACAAAATTCAATAATATCCATACTAATCCAAGAATGGTAACAAATAAATCAAAACGATTTCGTCGTGATTGCCAATAACCAACTATACCTAATGCTACACATTTCATAAATGCTTCGACAAGAAATAAAAATGTAAATAAGGATGCCATTAATGCTGATATTCGCGTTATTCTATCTTCAACTTTCCACTATAAAAATAAATACATAAAAATATAAATATTTTATACGTTTTGAAATAGATGAAAAATTCTTTTTAATATTTAAATTTTTACCGGTTTATATAATAATCCACAATTAATTAGAACAAGAACAGCTGATGATTTTTTAAATGCTTTATGTTGTGTTATTCCAAATATATATGAACGAAAAGTACTATTTTCTGGACGTGATGGTGTACGCAATGGTTGAAATAATTTAATACGTCCTTTTAAATCCATCCAACGACGTTGATCAACGGTTAACAATGCTGTACCCTATTTAATTAAATTTTATTTTTTTTTAGAAATTATATTATATTTGTTAATTTATATTTAATTTACTTTATTTTCACTGTAATTAGCGATAACAACACCAACAAATAATGTTAAACCAATTAATGTACCAATAAAGACAAATACATGAACAAATATTGCATGTTCCTAAAATAAAATATTATTATTCATATTTAATAGAGTGTAAAAATAATTAATAATAATAATAATAATAATTTACCGAGCCCATTCTATCCATAATTATATCACGAATTTCTAGCCATCCTTCTAATGATAGTACTTCAAATAATGCTAACATGGCACTACCAATATTATCAAAATTAAAATTATGAGGATTAGCCCATACTCTTGGTACAAGCATCATTGGACTACTACCACTTAAATTCATTTTTGAAACATATAATTCTCTCAAAAATACACCATGACAAGCTGGCTGAAAATAAAATATTATATTTTTCATTTTTCTTTTCTTCTTTTTTTTTTTTTTATTATAAAATGAAATTTTTTTTAATCTATAATTAAACAATTAAATACCTGATCTTTATAATGTTTTCGATCATTACATCGGGCTAATTGGCCACCAATAATTTGAACACCGTATATGGCAAATATAAACATAAGAACAACTAACAATATTGATACCAATAAAATTTCTTTAACACCTCGACAAACTTCGTAGACAACTTTTCTCATATCTGGTACAAGTATAAATATTCTTAATGGTCTTGTTGAACGTAAAAGCATAAATATTTGTGCTGGACTATTGGCTTGAACATGTCGCGGTAGCCAACATAAAAATATAAGACTAACTAGAAATATTAGAACATCGACAAGACCACCAAAATCATGGATTAATGCTCGTGGTGTAAAAAATAAACCGTGAGCAAATATTTTTAATGTTAATTCAACGCTCATACATATGACAAATGTATATTCGGCAACCTAAACATACGATGAAGTTCAAATTCATGTAATAATAAATCAGGACTGCCAGATCAACAAAATTGAAAAGTAAAATTAGAAAGAGAATTTGTCAACTTCGTTTTTCCATAGACAATAGATAAAAATAAACAAAAATTTCTTTAATATAGTCAAAGTCACTCAAAAAATTAAAATTTCACGTCTTTTTCAGTCAGAATAAATGCTTACGACAGATATTATTTTCATCACTTGTTTCAAAGTTAAATGTTAAAGACTCGTTATTGTGAAGGTTCTCTCACATGGGCTCGCAAACTATTTCATTTCTGGGAGAAATTCTTTCTCAAAATCGATTTTCAATTTTTTCGATTCGATTTCAATTTTTCGAAAATCGATTTTCAGTTTTTCGCCAGTTTGAGTTATAATTCTATTCGGCCAGTTTACCGACCGAATCGGTCCGATTACACTTTCAGACCGATTCACCTTTTCTCAACCAGTTCCAACTCCGGTACAAACAAACCAAACCGTGTTTGTATATTATTCTATTTATCAGTGAACTTACTACACTTAATGATGATGAGATATAGAATGTTCTCATTCGCTACGATTATAACTTCTTTGTGAAAGAGAAAACAAATGGTCTAATGGTATATTTGTTTTAATGAGACAAATATTTAAGATGGGATTGTGTGATATCTGGCAGTCCTATAACAAATATTCATCATTGAATCATACTTGTAGTAATGGTTGATCAAGAACTCTATTAGCTGGTGTTTCAAATGACATGCTGACAGTCGATATAATTGTAACAATAATCATAATCCAATCGATATATGTCACTAGACCAAGAAACTTACTAAATATAGATATGACAAGTATGAATTTTAAAAATAATAATAAATATATTGAATCTACATACTGTAATTGTTTATATCGACTTTTTGCTTCTTGTCCCGTAATAGGATCTTTTGCATTTACTTTATAACGTGCTTCAACAACTAATTGACAAAATTTTCGAAAATTACTTTCACGAGCAATGGTAAATAATGGTGTATCAAAATAGGGATGATTCTCTCTTAAATCTTCTTCTTGTTGATTACTAGAATTTATATTGATATGATCTATTATATTTCTCAAGATATTTATTGACAAAAAAATTATTTTACCGTTTTAATTCGGCTTGTTGTTTTCTATATTGAAATACTTTAATATCATAATCATCTTGAAGTCGACCTGAAAATCCTCCTACATCACCATTTTCTCTAATAACATGTACGGGTTTTGGACGATAACCAGAACGTCTCATAGAATTTCTAAAAAAAATATATTTAATTATAAAATTTTGACTTTAATTTATTTATTCATTGATCATTACCGTCGATCTAAACGTATTTTATTTTGTTGAACAAGCACAGATATTTTATTATCATTCATACTGGCAAGATGAACTTGTGATTGATCACCACTTAATAATCGTTGATTACTTGCACTTCTACAAATCAATAATAAATTATTATAATTTGTTTTTTATTTAAAATAAATACAAAATTTTATTCTTACCTGACAATATTTGATACAGCTGATCGTTTCATACTTTCACCAGTTGGTCGATGTTCAGGTAAATGAATTGTTTTAACAGCATGTTTTTTACTATAAATATTTATCGTTAATTCTAATGGAATTGTATAAATATCATCTTGATTAAGAAATTGTCTCATAAAACTATCACGAATTTTTGGTACTTCAAATTCATGTGGTAAACGTGAAAATTGTACCATTTGTGGATGATCAGGAAAACGTTCAAATATTCTTAGACGCCATGGAAGTTTTTGTTGTGTTTCAGTGCTCGCTTCACGTGTTTTTAACTAAAAAATAAATATATTTTTATTAATTTATATTATTTTCTTATTTATAAATTTTAACCTGTCGAATCATTTTAACATCTTCTTCTAATTCAAGATTATCCAAGATGACAGCAACGAATAATGAAAGTACAATCTAAAAATTAATTAATTAATTATTAATTAATAAATATTTTTATTAATATTATAAAATATATTACGAACATTTAATACTTCTATAAAGTAAATATATCATTAACGCAACACTATAACACAAGATAAAATACACTCATGCAACAATTATTTCATTACAATAATATATTAATACAAATATTTACAACAATGAAATAATTCTATTTCTTTCTAAACATACCAGACTAACAACAACATGATAAATAATAAAATAGCCGGCACATGCTGGTGCCATCCACCAAACACTTGCAACCATTGTATAATGCATAATATCAACCCAACCTTTTTGTGTTAAAACTTGAAACATAGACATTAATGCCTAAAAAATAATTCACATCTCTTATTTCTTTTGATTAAGAAATCTTTTCAAACGTTTTTTTCTATTCGCTTAGGAAATCTTTTTTTTTTTTGTTTTTTTGTCAAGACAATTCTATTTTGATATAGATATCCTAAATATTTTTCTATTAAAATGTCAAATTCATGCTTATATATTTTTCGTGCATCAAATTCATATAATTTAAATCACATGCATCTTTTCTCCTCCTGCTATCCACTTACAGAATTTTTATTAATAAATGAAAGAGAATGAAATAGATAGCTATCAAACAGACAAATATGATACCGAAATTGTATATTTCATCCATTGCTGAATACATTACTTCAGTTCATCCATCATTAAGAGCGATATGAAACATACTCATATATGCCTATACACGATCATTATTATTTTACAATAGAGTCTCATATTTCATACAAACAAATTAAATAACTTACTCTAGGAAATGTTTCAAATTGTCGAAGATTTTTAATAAAACAAAATAATTGCATACTAATCGATGATGTTATTAATAATAAACACATTGTAAATAAAATAAGACTGCCAAGTTTTCGTCCAGGACCAAATATCTAAATATAAGATTTGATTTAAAAAAGACGTATATATATATAACAACGAATAATCATTACCTTGTTGATAAAATCTTCTAATAAAGGACTAGACTTTAATAAACGTGCAACTCTAAGAACCTAGAATAAATATTAATTATTAAATAATATAAAAACATTTAATTTCTAATAAACATACCTGAAAATATGTCAAAAAATATTCACCTCGATAAAAAAAAGGTATACAATGAACTGATGTGCCAACAGCCAATAATAATTCAAATTTAAATATTGAACGACCAATATAATTGTTAAAACCAAGTGAAAACATTTTAAACAATGCTTCCAAATCAAAAAATAATGTAAATAATGCCTTAAAATATATAATTTATATAGATCTATGATGTCATTTAACAAATATGATTAAATTTTTACTTCTATATAATAGTATAATGCTTTATTTTTCTTATCAATACGTTCGTCATGTGTATGCTTAATTGTTGCCGTAAATATTGTATTAGCCAATATAACAATCATAACCGTCGTCGTAAATATTGGTGATTGAGCAATTTTTTGAAATATAACGGGTGCCAAACCCATTTTTTTATTTTCATCAATATTGACAAGTTTCAAACTACTGTCATCCGCTTTTTGCAATACTTTTGTTGCTTCAACATCAGCTGGTGCACCACGAGAACCCCACATTTGTTGAAATTGAACACGAATTTCAGCAAATGTTTCAATAATAACAGCGATAAATACGTTCTATAAATAAAAGAAATAAAACTACACTTGTCCAATAGAAATTGATCATGATCATTGTTTGATTAACTATTTTGATTGAACATAAAGAAATCAAGGTTATGACATTCCGAAGAAGATAATACAACTTCGCAAATATCTATCAGAAATATATATAAATAATAAGAAATACAATCAAAACAAAGAAATGAAAATTACATATGATTTCTATGCTTATCAAATTCTATAATCTACTGATTTTTATGGTCTTAAGTTGTAAGATTTAGGATTATTGTATTGACCACTATGGTTTAATTTATAATTAAAGATTCGATCAGAATCGTTTTTGACTCATTGTTTAATTAATTGCAGTCATTGATCCGCCATTAAATTTGTACTCATTCTTAACCAGTGTGTAAATTGATTCCGGCCTTTTTCTTCTCCATTTATTTGCTTCATTGTCATTGATGACAGGATGAGTAAAGTCAATATTGCAATTGTCGCCAAATGCATAGTGTTTTGCTAACAAAGATTTTAATCGTGTAGCATCATGACCTTTATTGGCTTTATCAATATTCTCTTTATGTTTTTCTTGCCTTCTTTCCTACTCATTGGATTCTCCTATGTATAGATTCACATACACATTTTAACCCATAGATGCAATTCATAGAATTAGATCCGATTGATTTCAAGTTAGTTTCATTTTTAGGATTTTGTTTTATTTAGGATAATATCAAAATTTTGATGATGTTGTATATATAATTTGATGTTATATTTATTGAAAATTTGTTTTTTACCTTATTCGACATATTATTCAAATGAGGAACTACAACAATATCCAAAACCTTATCATTCCTTTATTGAATTGGAGACTAACTATTATCTTTGCGTTGGTGTTATTGCATTTATATCCGTTTCATTATTTTATGTTAGATAGATAATGACTATTCAGTAAAATCTCTTCTAATTCACTGATATTATCATGGTTAATTCCATAATTACGGGCTACTAAAGCTCTATCTGACATGTTTTCATTATGTAAACATCCAATTTACTTTGGAATTTGAATTAGATTATAAGCTTCCATTTTTAGGTGTTAACTTTCATTTGGATAATGGGAAATTAAAAATGTTATGGTATAAAAACATAACAGCCACTAGCCAATTGTTAGACTATAACTCAGATTGCAATTATATGATTAAAAATAATATCGTTAATAACATGTCAAATAGAGTTTTAGTAGCCTTTAATCATGGAATTAACCATGTTGATATCAGTGAATTAGAAGAGATTTTACTGAATAGTCATTATCTATCTAACATAAAAAATGAAACGGATATAAATGCAACAACACCAATACAAAGATAATAGTTAGTCTCCAATTCAACAAAGGAATGATAAGATTTTGGGTATTGTGGTGTAGTTCCTCATTTGAATAATATGTCGAATAAGGTAAAAAGTAAATTTTCAATAAATATAACATTAACCAGTAGATTATAGAATTTGATAAGCATAGAAATCATATAGAATTTTCATTTCATTATTTTAGTTGTATTTCTTATTATTTATATCGGATAGATGTTTGCTAATTGGTATTATTGTTAAGTACCTTTCTTATTAGCCTACCACTGAAAAGGCTTTACCAAGTCGAAACGTTTGCTTATTAATAAATATACGGTTAATATAAACAATTTATCCTGAAATTATTGTACACGATCCGTAAAAACAGCAATTCTGAACAATATTTTCAGAAGAAGAAAATTAATCTTTTTCGGAAGTATCATTCTGAGTCTCACAGTAATGTCTATTATTCAGAAAAATTTGTAAACAGCTAAATTAAATGGAAAGAACGCTGTCTGACTACATTTCTTGAATATTCAATTATTCGTAAAACAATTGAAAATCACTTCAAATGACTTGAAATCTCGATAAAATACGTAGTTTGACGTACTGCCCATGATTTCCGTATCCCAATGTTAGAACTTTTCTAATTTTCTAATGTGATTTTCCGGAAAACTTTATTAATTAAAATGCATTTTTTCTCTTAAGCCACTTTTGAATCATATGCTGTATTCAAGAAAAAGCATCAGTCATTTGAAATGATTTTAATGATTTTTGTAAATTTTTGAACTTCAGTGGAAAAATAGCTGAAAAGTCGTTTTTTCACCTAATCTAACTTTTTATTCTGGTTTTGTACTTTTCTAAAAACTATTGACATGAGACTCAACGTGATCAATAATCTATGTCTTCATGCATTATCCATATTACCAAAAATCAACGAAAATCGATCCCAACATTTCTAGAAATTTGATGTCACATCTAGACGGTGAAAAGTGGAGGATCAAAAATCGAAAAACTATCGAAAAAGCTTTTTAAAGTTGTTCTCTTAGAAAAGTATGTGAACAAGTCTCGTTTTCAAATGGTAAAAACCTAAATTTTTTTAAGTAGCTTCAATCAAAAGAGTTATTTAGAAAAAATGACCACGATCTTCTTTAGACTGACAGTTATTAGATAGTAACTTTAGACATGGAACTAAATTTACCTTTACAAGCCATGCAAGAAAAAATATCATTGTTATAAAATAGAAAAATGCACGCCAAGATGGCAAACTATCAATAGCACGATACATTAAGAAAACCCAGCCCTCCTGAGATGCTGCTTCATAGACGGTAAAAAAGCTTGTGGCTAAAAACAGAGAAAGAAAAAATAGATATATCATTTCATTTTCATTTTAGAGACTAACCTAATTCATCAAAACCGTTGTAACCACGTTGATTTCGAGGAATTTCAATTTTTTCACAAACAAATCCTTCGGGACAATGAAAACCATCTTTTGTTGGCGAACAATAAGTATCGGGTATCATTAAATCACCTTTTGTCACATTTCTAATAAAAAATAACCACAATAAATAAAAAATATAAGCTAGAACACGTTTCAAAATTGTCTGTTAGTCCTCACTCCGTATCTGTTCCGTTTTGTACACAATGGAATGTTAATGAACCAAAAAATTGTACACCCAAAATACCGTATAAACTCATGAAGAATAGAAAAAACATGGTTACATTATAGATTTGTGAACTCGATCGTCTAAAAAACATGAGAAAAATCTAATAATAATATTTTTTTTTTCTAGAAAGACATAATTTTTACGTACTGTAAAATCGATTTTATTTGACTTTTTGGCAATTCAAATTTTAAAAATGTTTTCAATACTTTAACAAGAATAAATGGTCTTGGTGATCGTACAACAGTAAAATAGGTATAACTTCCAATTAATTTTGTCAATTCAAATATCTTAAAAAGAAATAGTTAATTAATTGAGTTCAGTTGATGACATAAAATATTCTACCTGTAATATAACTGAACAATATATACATAGGACCATAACAGCATCAAATTGATTCCATCGATCACGAAAATATGGTGCGTCACCCTAGCAAAAAGGAATAACTAGACTATTTAATGAACATAGTAGATAATAATATAAAAATAGCATACCGATAGAATTCCTCTCGTTTTAATTTTTGCTGCCATTTCTATGGTAAGTATAATTGCACAAACAATATCAATAATGAATGTTACATATTGTAACCACCAACTATCTTCAAATGTTTTTGGTGTATTCATACAAACACTAATAAAACTAAATAGTCCAGTTAAACGAAATATATATTTTACAATTGGTTTATTCATCCATTCTAAATTATGTCCTTGTGTATCTTCTTGAGTGTAGTCCATTAACGGTACAAAGTCAGAACGAAAACTTTGTTTTCGCATTATATTTAACATTGATGAGAGTGCAGCACCAGCAGCTGACGCGGTCATCGTTGTATGTTGAATTGAAAATAAAAAAGCTAAATAAAAATAAAATATTTACAAATTTAGAAAATAATTTTAGACTAAATTAGATACCTATTATTTAATATACTTCATGATTATGTGATCGATGATATTCTGTTAGGTGAACGATGCAAATAAATAAATATGCATCGAGCACAAACCTGAGATGAATAGGAATAGAGCATATTCCTGAATGACTAGATTATAGATAAAATCTAAAAAAAAAATAGAGGATAGATTAGAAATATTCAAGATAAAGTTCAATTGCAGTTTAAATAGAAGAAAAATCAAATAGAACCGTAAAATAAAGACAGAAGAGAAAAACTTTTCTTTGTTGAACATAAACACATAATAGCAAATTACACGTTTGAATAAATACAATTATATTATAGACAAAGACGATCATTATTTCTGCTGCTGAGGTTTCTTTTTTTTTCTTCTTTTCTTACACATGTTGAAATGTAGAAACAATGATAATGAATAAGAAGAAATTTGACGCTTTTATATAAGAGACAGAATTAGTCATGTTTTTCTGTTATTCAATACATTTTGTCTTAGATCTCAATGGTCATTATATTTATAAATTTGAAAAAAAAAAAGTTATATCACACCTTAGAATTAAAATAAGACATTATGTAAAATGACAAGAAAAAATTGAGCTCATCTATTCATACAAAACTATTTTCACAATGTTCATATTTTAATTTAGAATATAGATGTAAACATTAGATAATCTAAATTTAAACTTCACAAAACAATGATAATTGATTATCATTATTACAAAGTTACTTGTAAACAGCATGTCCAAGATTTAAACGAATTTTTGTATTATAGATCTTCTCCTTTTTCCTAGTCATTTCCTTCCTATTGATACTGTTCAAAATGAAGACTCGTTCTTGACGAAGTTCTTCTTAAACACACGAATACACAATGGTTTATAGAATGAAATTGTTCTTGTTTTGGAGAAAAAAATATCCCAAGACACTAGTTTAATTCTTTAAAAACAAAAAAAAAAAAAAATGCTTATCATATTGACAATAATGTTAATGATTGATTTTATTTTTTTGTACATAGTTAAACACTACAAGGTCAACACAAACATGTGTTATCTATGCGCTTGACTAATTTGAAATTATATCTCGACATTTTTTTTTTCTTGTAGTTTAAAAATTCCTTTTTTTACGAGCGTATTGGGACCGGAGCAAAAGAAGAACTAAGTTAGTTCCAATGATTCTCGAAACATTGTGTTTTATTTGAAAAAAATAAGAAAATGTCATCATATGTTAGATGGCTATATCGAGAAAAATGATGATAATGATGATGATGATGATGATGATGAAAATAAATCAACATTTTTAACACAAAAAGAAAAAAACCACTCTTGTTGTATTATTATTTTTCTTTTTTCTTTGTAGCGGTATAGGATGAAAAGATACAAAGCGAGTTTTTTTCCGAAAATAAAACGATTTTTTTTTTTGTTTTTTTTTTTTGGAAATAAAAACTTCTTCTTTCCTCAATGTTTGCAAACATTTATTTAATATTTCTATCTCATATTCGATTATTATTTGAACTAGAATACATCCACATCTGTCTTTCTTTCCATCCCTTTTAGCTATTAATTTTCAAGATAGAACTCTAACAGAATACTTATGCTGCGGAAAAGAGAGTCTATTACGATATCAGTCCCACGTAAATAGGGAAAAGCTTAAAATAGTAAATACGGCTAATACATTCTTTACTTTTGCACTTAAATAGGCAATTTTTGAACAAATTAGACGAACAGTTAAGTATCTGTGTATGAAACATACACATAACAAAAAAAAAACATAGATTTTTAAGTTATCTTAAATACATAAAATTAATTATTAGTTCAAATAATAAAAACAAAACAAAAATCAAGTGTTCACATATTTATGAACCGATTTGAAATACTTGATGTAAATGAATCAACAACATTTTGAAGTAAACAAGTATCGATATTTATTTTTATCTTTATCAAAAGAAAATTTAAAACATATTCTATATCGCCATAGATATTTATTCATGAGTATCATTTATTCCCGTCATCGTACTGTTTCAATCATAGAAAATTGTCTATGATAACATTGCAAAGGAAATGAATAAAACAAAACATTTTTTTGAATTAAACAATTATTTTTTGTCGCTATAGATCAGACTATGAACAAAAATACTTCAAAGAAAACGGATTTACGCTTTAGAACAATGGATTGTGTTTAAAGTATAAAAGAAAAATATTCTGATGTTTGTTTTATATAGAGAATTTTCAGCTTAAAAACGAACTTTTTCTTTTTTTTTCACGTGAGCTAAAAGAAAAGCAGCTGCTCTTTTGGTATTTATCTTTATTATTAGCACTACGGATGAAAAGAAGAATAAGAAAATGTGAGGAATAATCAGTCATATAACTGTTGTTCGAGATCGTCGAATGTGTGATGGAAAAACAACAGGGCACACGCACACACACAGACACTCAAATACACACGAGAAAATGAAGAAGAACAATATATTTTCAGAGTATCAGCACAGGTCAATACAGACAAATCGAAGCATGCAATCTTAATAATAATTATAATCTGATAAATATCCCATTGTAGTATAAAGGAAGAAGAATTAAAATAGTATATAGATGATAAAATATAATTTTACTAATTATATTCATAGACACTTCACTATTGAATCAATCATTATCAAAATTCTTAGTAAAATTTGTATTTGAGTTGAATCTTCCATAAAAATAAATCTACGCACACATTTAAACTCTAACATAATAATATGATCTTTAATCTTAATATTGTTTTTCAATATCGAAATTATGTTTTATTAAGAAAAAAAAAATTCAATATTTGTAAAAAAATTTGTTTTTCAACAAAATCTCTTCGATATAGTAGGAAATGCTGTTCATTATCACTTTTTTAACTTGTATGAGTAGAAAGACTAAAAATGTCAAACGTTATATTTTTTATTAGAGTAGGTACGCACGAGTGAATTACAAATAATTTATAACTAATGACGTATAAAGTTCTCACCTTTTTCTACATTATAGTGGTATAAATAAAAATAACATTTCTAAGAGAGAGAGAGAGAGAGAGAGAGAGAGAGAGAGAGAGAGAGAGAAAATGGAAAGTAATAGAGAATATAATACTGCTAAAAAATACATTGTCTAAACATATTACCGATATCTGTGTTGTTGATTTATTCGAGCTTTCTCTATGTATTACTTTCATTATTTTCAAGAAAATATAAAAAATATATAAAGAAAGATGAAGGTGTATTAAATTGCGTTCACACGCAATATATGTCATGTTCAGTTATTACCGTCACAAATCATGTTCGATTTAAATTATTAGTTTGTCAATTATTCGTTTACCTTCTTGTGTCGAGCAGTTAATTATGGAGTAACAAAATAAATATTTAAGAAAAGAAAAACATTTCTTTTCTTAATAGTAAGACGAAAAAGAGAGAGGGAGAGAAAGTGGAAGGCAATATTTAATCCGAGATTTAACACATACCGGTACAATGTTATGCGATAAAATTCGAATAAAGAGTGCTTTACAATTAGAAAGGAAGTGTTAATTTTCTTTTTCTGCTCCTTTTTTTAAATAACGAACACGAACATGGATACATACATGGTATACATACGTAGTTCTCTATTCTATCTTTATTGCTTATTTTTCTATCATAAAAAAGTGTTCTGTATGTGAACAATGTTGTTATTTGATGCAAAAATGTATTATATAAAATATAGGACCACTGGTAATTATAGATGACTTACTCGCTACGCTACAGATTGTATCGAGAAAAGAAGAGGAGACGAGAGTTTGGAAAAGAAATATAGATAGCGCGCATTCTTCTCAAAACTCTTTTTACTTTATCTTTAGTAGAATCTCTTTATTCATGGTTTTCTCTTTTTTTTTTGTATTCTTTCGAACAATATTCATTCTATACGAGATGTGAAGAATGAAATAAAAAAGTTTTCTCAAGTATGGAGAGAGCAACCACAAAAAAGAGAGATAGATGAAGAGAATGATGATATTTATTATAGAGTAGTAACAGAGCATTGAAGAGCCAACGAGGATCCTTTTCTTTTCTTTCTTTAAAACAGAACATGATACAAAACGCATGTTTTTCAAATGTTGTATGGAAAACTCAAACGAAAATGATGATTTAGTTCAAATTTTTTTCTTCTTCTTTTTTTTCCGTCACCGATAATTCGTTCAAGTACTAAAACGGGAAAAAGAAGACGAGAAGAATGAAAATTGCATCCGTTTGCGGTTCATTTACGTTTAAATCAAACTATTTTTTTTCTCGATGTAGCACTTTCGATACAAAAAACATACAATATGTTCTATTTGACATGAGGGCATAACATTGTTTCAGAAAAAGAGAAAGGAAAAAGAGCGATGAGATTATTCCCCTTATGAATGAATGACTTTATTATATAAATCTTACTCTTCTTTTACGCAGGAAATAGTAGGTTCTGCTAAATTTTCAGCAAATTATTGAACAATTCACTAGTTTTAAACGCGATCAAAATGTTTTTGTTGATCTACGTATTTGAATTGCTCATATTATTGCGATTATTACTTAAAAAACATTTTTTTTTTGATTTCGTGCAGAAGAAACGAGAAAAATAGACACGCAGTATCCTCTGATTTTTTTGTTTCTCTCTGATAATATTTAATAATAGAGATAAAAAAAAAAAAAGAATGATTTAAGTATAATCACTGTGTCTCATACTGATTTTTACTCTTTTCTATCCATCTTTCTGCTTCAATTTTTAATTATATGATGACTACAAAGAAATAATTGCTGATAGATGCAATAGTTTACTGTGCAAATCCAGGGTTTCACTTCATTCCCAGCCAAAAGTGGTGTTTCTATTATTACAGAAGCATGCTCAAAACTGTCAGTTGACAGATGTTCAACTCATAAAAACTATGAGATTAATAAAAGACGTGCCAATACTTGAAAGTTTCGAATCTGTAATAAAATTCATGATTATCTGCGTGTAATTAATTGAGCAGCGTGGCCCAGTCGGCTAGTGGGAAGACAACGTACTTCAAAGATACGGATTTCGAATCCTGGCAACGGTGATCGCGTGATAGTCTTGGACAAGCTATCTGATGCTCATTATCTTGGTACCTTTGTACATGAGAAATTAACTATTTAGATGATGAGAATTAAAGTATAAAAAAAAATTAATTAACCTCATAATACCTACTTTCTTCAAGTTCTTCATACATTTTCTAGGGAAACGATCGTTTCTACCAGTGATATGTGTTTGTACTATGAATAGCCGAGTGAAAAATTAGATGTCATTCCTATTTTATCAATCACTTCAAACAAGAGTTATACACGAAACAAAATTGAATCAATGCAATCAATTAATAAAATAAACTATGATTTATGTGATTTGATTGTAGACGAAATCAAAACATTTTCCAATACTCTATCAACAATGAAATAGCTGAGCAGTTAGTTTCTTTTCTGTTCTTCATATGATCAGGTGATTCAACTCAACAATCACAAGGTAATATTATTTCATTGGCTAAAAGCTTAAAATAGTATCTTGAAGAAACTCAGATGAATAAGAGTACAACTAGAACAGTTGAAAGAAGTAGATTTACCATTATTTTATTCTAAACTATTAGTGTCTAAAAATGACATGTGTCCGGAAATCAAAATAATATAAATATCGCTTACTACAATTCAAATATGAAAGGGTTGATGAGATAGGTTATGTTCATATTATACTTTTTTTCATACTTAAATTTAAGTTCAGAAGAAGAATCCGTCCATACTACTCACTTAAACTTATTCTATTTATCGTTTATCTCTTTCGAGACAATTTTTCCAATTCTTTATAACAGCTATGAAGAAAATTCTTTGTTCATCTTACTCGCATGAGGTTAATCGTTATTCTTAACTCAACAAAGTATGTTAGATTATTATTGCTTTCTAAAAACATTTGAAACTGAACGCTCAATTACAGTACTGTAGATCAATCCAATAACAAAGAAACAATTCAACTTTTTATCAGGATTGGTGCCTTAACTTTTTTCACACTGAAATGACATAAAAAATGTCACTTAAGTATGACTTGACTTTTATACAGTGAACATTCTTAAGACGAACTTAAGTTGTGTAGTGTGAACATAACCATATCGATAATAATTCTGTGTTTATTTGACAATTTTAGAGGAACATAGATTGAAATGAATGAATGAAATAGATTTAATCTTCTAGTAACATATTTATTGACTTTTGTACAACAAAGTATTATGTGAAGAAAAAAAATCGACTAATTAGTCCGTTAATGGTAAAAGCAGAACAGTTGTCAACCATCGAGCGATTTTAATAGGGATAAAAACGGTTTTTATAATAGAGATAAAACAAGATGTTTATATAATAAAGTGATCATATACGTATATCACGACAGTTAAGAACAAGAAAAATATTATCGTGTATGAAACAATATTTGAACTAAATAATTGTTCACCAGTAATATCATCATTTAACCATAAACTGTTATTTTGTTTCTTTACCAATAAATCATCCTTTTCATTTGAACAGTAATATTGTGCTGATATCAATGTACTATTACAATTTTTTACTAACGATATTGATGAAAGATATCCTCCATCATTCTTCATTTGTTTTAATTCAATAGGTTTCAACATCCAGTTTATAATATCGATCATTCGAACAAAATAAACATCATGTTTATGATATTTCAATATATGTTTAACAAATTGCATTAAACCTTCCAAACGCCATTCTTGATGTGCTTCATTAATCCAACTTGACTCAAGAGCAATAATGAACGGTGCATGATTAGAATGATAATGACGATTAAAATTATGTTTTAAATAATTAAAAAACCCATTAACGGTACGAGGCATTCGACAATGATCACTGCCTATAGTTGTGCAATTACGACCTTCTGAAAATAGCAAACAAAATTAGATAGTGTACAGATACCTAATACATAACTCTTACCTGTATCTTGATACATATGAATGGGTATTGTCCATAAGCCAGGAAATGATTGGGTATAGCATCCTTGTGAACAGTCATAGGTGGGTGCAAAATCCATTGTATGTGGCCATGTGAGTGGTGAAGGTTGTTGAGATGTGTATGTTAAACCAGGTTCATTGACGACCAATGTTGAATCATATAAAAATTTATTTTCTCTCAATATTTGGTAATGAATATTGCGTAAATTTATTTCATAATTTGGTGAACGATGACCAACAATCGTGGACGGATGAATACGAGTTCGATTTTGAATCATTTCTCGAAATAAAATTATTTCATTATACCAACGTCCTTTTCGCCATGAAACAAAGGGAGTTTTATCGGATTTTGGTTTTATTCGACAATCCATCGTTGGACATCTAAACAAGACGAACAGAGAGATTTAGTTGAAATATTACGCCTAAAATTTACTCTGAAGAATTTGATGTAATACTCAATTCAAATCCACGTTGAACAAGTTTTTGTACGAGACAATAATCAGTTTCAGCATGATTTTTTAAAAATATTGTTCCACTGATTGGACAGCCATCGGGATTTTTAAATTCATTAACATGAAATATTTTTTGAGACAAATTAAATACCGTTACATCAATGGGCCCATTGATCGATATTGATAACTAAAACAGATGAGTCATAAAGAATTTGGCAAAAGAGATAAACAAAACACTTACAAATTGTGGTGTGTTTCGTGGTGTTAATGAGCCTGGGATTGTTTGACTTGAACAATAGCAATAGGGTAAACGACATTTTTCATTCGAGCATGTTTCTAGTTTGGTATAATGAGCAGAATTAATCAAATGAAATGCAAAACATAAAAGCGAAACGATGAAATACAACATGCTTGTTTTCGTTAGAGAAGTAAAGTATAGTGAAAAAGCATGTGGCTAAAACTGTCAAAATATTTTTTTGTTTTGTTTCCTTTCAAAACATACCGAGTATAGATAATAGACTAGTAGTGGATTTGAATTGCTTTTCGTTCAGCAGGAGAAAAAAACAACTAAAATATTTTTAATGAGAAGAAAACGTTATATTTCATGATGGGAGATGTACACTTTGAAAAATCTTCGTTTAAACGCTTTCTTGTACGAACTGTTTAGAATCTAATTCTTTTCTCTTCACATGGACTGTAAACTTTGTGGACTCTAGTCGACATCCGCAGTCATTGACAGTCTTGTACAATGCGAGAGAAAATGTCTTCGCATTTAACAATAAGATTTACTCCTTTGTGTGTACTATTCTATCCTAGTCATAGTGAAATACAAACAACGGAAGAACTGAAGAAAAAGAACACATCAGCGTTAACTTCCGCATTAGTAATTGCCAAAACATTTTAAGAGCAAAACGCATTGTCAAACAATGTAAACTTATAGAATACTAGCAATTTTGTTTCGTGTATAACTCTTGTTTGAAGTGGTTGATAAAATAGGAATGACATCTAACTTCACTCGGCTATTCATAGTACAAACACATATCACTGATGGAAACGATATTTTCCCTAGAAAATGTATGAAGAACTTGACTAAAGTAGGAATTATGAGATCAATTTAATTATACGCAGATAATCATGAACTTTATTATAGATTCGAAACTTTCAAGTATTTACGCGTCTTTTATTAATCTCATCGTTTTTATGAGTTGAACATCTGTCAACTGACAGTTTTGAGCCTGCTTCTGTAATAACAGAAACACCCCTTTTGGCTTGTTGTTCTGTGTGGGCTCATTAGACCGAAAAGTGAACGTTTTCCGGTCGGCAAAAATTTTCCGTACAGTTGATAAAAACTATTTTTTACGCTGTATAAGCACCGACAAAATATGAAAACTACATCAATTGATAGAGGAGAGCGTGAGCTACATTTTAGTAAAAAAATAATTTTGAAAAGCTTTTTCCTTAGGATGAAAACGCGACTTTAAGCCAAAAGTGCCATAGTCTTCAGTGTGAGTAGTGAATCGCAGGAATGAGTGTGTGAAAAAAAATTCTGATTAAGAATTCGAAAGAGCGTCCAAAATTGAGTAAGATAAATATAGTGTGGAAGTTAACTGAGAGAATTGGCCATCTTTTAATATTTGGGATCTTGAGGCTATTTTTGAAACATTTTTTCTGCACAGGAGGTTAAACATTTTCGGGTATCATTGCGTCACTCAAGTAGTTACTGTACATGGGTATGCAAAGAGAAATTTAGACTTTTAAGCTCGGAGGGAGAACATCGAAACCAGCAACCCATAAAACCATCAAAAATTAACGTCATATTCGTGCGCAGCGTCAAAAACTGCGTTTAGTGATGTGTCACTCGAAGTTTAGCAAAACGTTTGCTTTCATCTAAAAATAACGTCTGAAGACGTTATTTTTGTAACAGACACTAAACACCCGACGAGCAATTTTGACTAAGCACCTGATAAAGGCATTTTTGACAAGCAAAATTTTTGCGAAAGCAAACGTTTTGCTAAACTTTGAGTGACACATCACTAAACGCAGTTTTAGAAGAAAAAAAATTTGCTGGTTGGAATGAGAAGATTATGATAAAAACTGCGCCTCAAAATACTGAGTAGTTCACAAGCTATAGCCGTCGCAAGGTGCAAAACGGAGCTGCTTGTGAGGTACATTTTACTCTGGGTGAGTAGTAGCTACGAAGCTCGAGTTTTTCTTAAATGAAACTAATGACTATCTACTTAAACATAAAAAATCTGGTATCGTCCGATACATCTAGATTACTAGATTTTTACTCAATTGCAATTATTTAGTAACGACAGTGGAAATCTAGTAATCGGACGATTGCAAGATCTCTCCTTAGTTACAACTATCGAGTTATTGCTCGATAATCGACCGATTTAACTATTGCTAGTTGTATATGCAGACGCAGCTAGTTAAAAGCCTCTTTTCCAACTAGTAATCTAGATGACAACTAGTCGTGTATCACTCCCTTACAGATGTAATGTATCTACATTTTCCCATAGGTAACATTTACTTGGATAAAAATGACGGATGCTTTTGTTGAATTTTGTCTCTCTTAGTTTTTTGCCTACATTTTAAGTTGAAACGTCACGTGCCTCTCTCAGTGACGAACGCGAAATTCAATCACGCCTGTCTTACACGTGTAGCGGATGCAGTATCACCACAGTTACAGTACCTGTTCAAGTGATGTACTTCTATTGAAAAATTTTAAAATATCTGGAGAAGCACATTAGTTAGACCAGTTTTCAGCAAAAATAACGGAAGTAGTATCGAGAATTATCGATTAACGTCTTTCTTAAGCAATATAAGTAACGTTTTAACTTAACATATCAGTTTGATAAAGACAATTCTAGAAAAGTTTATTAAAAAGATGCCTTAACTCTCAAAATACGAGAACAAATGTTGAAAATCAATAGTCGACGCGAGTTGTGCGATACGAAATACACATCATCTCATTGATCAGATTAAAAATTACTAGAAAAGAACCAGAAGCACTACTCTATCATATTTAAACATATCAGATTTATTTACGTCGGTCCCGATTGATAAAGCAATCAATATTCATGAACAAAAAATGAGTAAAAATAAACAGCGGAAGACAAATACTAATTTAAACAAAAGAACAGATAATAAAAATCGTTAAATTTTGCATAGACAATATTTACTTTGAATTTGACGAAAAAATCTATAAACAAAAGGTTGGACTTCCTGTGGGGTTATCGACATCCTTTCTTTTAGCCGATCTATATGTGAAACGATTTTTTCGAGACTTACACGCAACATATTCAACAACGAATTCATTTCATGGGAAGATATGCTGATGATATCATTTTAATTTCCGAATTAACTGAGAATGATGTTAAAATACTGGTAGAACATCTTAATAAATTGATCCAAGATTTCAGTTCACATTTAAATTTGAAAAGAATGATTGTCTACCGTATCTCGATGTATTGGTCAAATAAATGAACTCATGCAATTGAGCTGGTATCGAAAAGTTTTAGCCGCAAATTCATTTTTGCGATACGATTCAAACCGGTGAGGTGTCCAAATGTCGACAATGAAAATGTCGACAGAGAAGAATGTCGAAATTTCGATTATAATACAGAATAATGACATAGCATACCGTCGTGTATTTCCTTTTATTTCTTTACTTTCTTTGTACATGCCGACCTGGTTATAGCATTTAATACGTCTTGCTCCTTTCTTTCTTGCCTGATGAAACTGTCGCTTTTCTCTAATAACCGTTATTCGTGTACACACCATCATACTAGTACAATCGGTACATCATTTTATTTATTTATTTTTACCTAATATATTTTTCAACAAAAGTCTGTCATTTTGTCAAAATGACATACTCCATTATTTTCTTCTTCTTTTTCTTCGTTCAATGTCTCCTTTTTAATAGTTTTATTAAATGTCCAACACATATTCTAAAATCCTTGAAATTCTGGACTTGTCGATATTTTAAAGTTCTCATTACAGTAGAATGTCAAGCATTTAACAGTTCGAGCCGTAAGTCATCATTATACTGCACAATAGCGGTGGCTGTTTACTTGTTACTCGGTGTTACTTTACCAGTAAACTAACAAAAATTCGTTACTTGTTACTCGTAATTAGTAACAACAGATGCTAATTGGTTACTTTGTTACTAGTAAAAAGTAACGAAGTTGTTACTTGTTACTAGTAACAAATGCTTCTGACTTTTGGTAAAGTGACAGAAAATAAGTTTTTTTGTTTCGCCATAAAAACTTTTTTTGAGGGTGCAGGTGAAATACGTGCTAAAAGATGGTGGTCACTTTATCAAAAGTAACAAAGTAACAACTTCCTTGCCTGTTACCAGTAACAGTAATGTTAAACCGCCAACCAACAACAACACCGCCAATTCTATCATCAACAAGTTTAATACAATCACAAATTCGTTCTACTACAATGGAAGTATTACCAAATAAAAAACATTGTTCTTTGAAAGAAAAATCTTTGCGTAAAGTTAAAAGTGAATATGA